CCAGTAGAGAGACTTCTTACAACATACCTGACCAGTGCTTCTCAAAGCAGCCAAGATCATTCAAATCCAGCAAAGTCTGAGAAACTCACAGCCCAAAAGGGGCCTACGGGAACAGAACAGTTAAAGGTGATATAGTATGGATGGGATTCTTAAACAAAAAAAGGGTATTACGTTAAAAACTAGAGGAAATCTGAATAAAGTATGGGCCTTAGTTGATAATGTATGGATATCAGGTTATTAATTGTAATAAATATACCATGTAACATAAAATGTTAATAATAGAGGAAACTGGGTATCAGATAGTATATAGGAACTCTGGACTATTGTCTGCATTTTCTATAAATTTCAAGCTATTTTAAAAAATCGATTTTTTTAAAGAGTATGTACAATAAATACATTGAATAATATTTTAAAAGTACATTTAAAATTCATGTTTTACTGCCTGTTCCCTAGACCTTAACTATAAGCCTAGAATCATAGCCTAAGCATCCTCTGCGTCCAGCTCCACAGGTGGTTCTGATGTGTGGCCAGAATTAAGACATTGTTTAGAGATCCACTCCTGCTTGAAAACTGGTTTTGTGAATTTTTTTAAATCAGGAACAGTAAATCCTTGTATATTCAATTCATTAAAAGTTTGGTTTTTTTTGCTCTGTATAATTCTTTATCATAATGAATGTGTGCTCATGGTATATTGCTTTTTAGGTGTTTATCTTTAATATACCCATGTCTCAAGACTTCTCATGTTTTTTGTTCAGACTCATTTATAATATCTACACACCCTACCAAACATACCTGTGTTTTTTCCCTTACAAACTCTTAATTTGTCTGTCATATAAATGAGTGTAGTATGAAAACATGTGTTGACCTGAAAAATGACTATTCTTTATCATTACCAACAGCTTTTTAGCCTCTAATATACATATGTCTATTTTAAATAAGTATTTTATAATATCTCGCTATAATTACTTGCTTTTAAGGCTCATAATAGCAACTTCATATTGATATTATTCATTAGGTCATGTGCTTAAGAAGGTTATTTGGTCAAAACATTATTGATGATTTGGTCAAAACAGTATTGATGAGCCATCTGATTTCTCAAAGATAGTTTCTGGAGAGAAATTTCCTTGTCTCTTTCCATTTACTTGCTATATAATTCAGATTCTGATACGTCTCTCTGACTGTTAGTGTAACCCTTTCTTCAGCATCTTGCTTGCTGGCCTCTTCCTGTTCCAGTTCCTCTACGCAGTGCTGTCAGCATTCTCTTTTTAAAATACAGGTTTAATCATGTTCCTGCCTTGCTCTGAGACTCTATGTCTCTTCTCCCTCTTAGGTATATACAAGTAATATAAACCACTGCTGTTTATGGATCACAGTGCTGAGAGTTTTACAGCCATCAAGTAATTTATTTTGATAAGAACCCTTTCAAGCCAGCCTATAACTCCTATTATTCTCCATTTTATAAACAAGAAACTGATTTAGAAAGGTTAAGCAACTTTTCCAAGGTTCTATGGTTAGTAGATGGCAAAGTTTGAGCATACTAATAGGTTTCTCTGTTACTATGGCGCCAGTAGGGCTCCCTGTGCTTTTCTACCCTCTTTCTACCCAGCTTTCTCCCATCTCATTCTTTAGTCTCAAGGCTTGTTCCATTTATCTTGTAACTTCTCATTGATGACACTTGGCCTATGGAAACCGTGCTTCTCTTTTTTGGTTTTGCTCAAATATCATACTAGATTCCTCTACTCCACCTTCCCAGTTAACATTTTTTCTTCCTCCTTCTTCTATATTTTTGTTTATATTTTAATTTTGTCATTTGCCTTATACTGTATATATCTGTTTTTATTTCTAGCTTCCTACTAGATTGTAAGTTCCTGGAAGATAAGGACTATTCTGTCTTTACAAACTGTAAGGCCAGTATCTTGCACTTACCAGACATGCAAGAAATACGCCTTTTTTTAATCAGTTATATTCATACAAATAGTAGAGTTTGTTTGTTTGTGACAGAGTCTCACTGTCACCCAGGCTGGAGTGCAGTGAGTGGCATAATCTCAGTTTACGGCAACCTCTGTTTCCCAGATTCAAGTGCTTCTCCTGCCTCAGCCTCTCAAGTAGCTGGGACTACAGGTATACCCCACCATACCTGGCTAATTTTTGTATTTTTATTAGAGATGGGTTTTCGCCATGTTGGCCAGGCTAGTCTTAAACTCCTGACCTCAAATGATCTGCTCACCTTGACCTTACGAAATGCTGAGATTACAGGCATGAGCCACTGCATCTGGCCTTAGAGGGTTTTTTTTGTTTGTTTTTTGGTTTGTTTTTTGAGACGAAGTCTCTCTGTCACCAGGCTGGAGTGCAGTGTCGCGATCTCGGCTCACTGCAACATCCACCTCATGGCAAACTCCGTTTCCTAGATTCAAGTGATTCTCCTGCCTCAGTCTCCCCAGTAGCTGGGACTATAGGTGCACGCCACCACGCCCAGCTAATTTTTATATTTTTAGTAGAGACAGGGTTTTATCATGTTGGCCAGGATGGTCTTGATCTCTTGACCTCGTGATCCGCCGCCTCAGCCTCCCAAAGTGCTGGGATCATAGGCATGAGCCACCACCGGCCTTAGAGGTTTTATGAGGATGAAATGTGGAGTCCTTTATCCTTATGAATTGTTTTAACTCAATTATGAAGATATTTTATTCTCCAACTTAATAATTTGATAAAATTTAGTAAAATTTTAATGAAAATCTAATAATTTTTTGATTCTGTATTTTTTGATTTCTGTATTTTTTTTTTTGAGACGGAGTCTTGCTCTGTTGCCCAGACTGGCATGCAGTGGTTCAATCTTGGCTCACTGCAACCTCCACCTCCTGAGTAGCTGAGATTACAGGTGTGCACCACCACGCCCAGCTGATTTTTGTAATTTTAGTAGAGACAGGGTTTCACCATGTTAGCCAGGCTGGTCTCAAACCCCTGACCTTGTGATCTGCCCACCTTAGCCTCCCAAAGTGCTGGGATTACAGGCATGAGCCACCACGCCTGACTACTTTTTTTTAAATTGAGAAATCTTATACTGTTAGATACATATTAAAGCATACTCTGAGATTTTACAGATACTATTGGTTGCTCAAAAGGAGAATTAGTATTACAAAAAATTCTAAATATTTCTGTATTTTTCATTACCCTGGTTAAAAAGACTGTAAACTTGTAACTTTCTAACTAATCATTGTTTTTAAATTTTTTTAATTTAACTTTTAAAAAAGATTTGAGAGGCCAGGTGTGGTGGCCTCTAATCCCAACACTTTGGGAGTAGGGGAATCACTTGAGTCTAGAAGATCAGCACGAGCCTGGGCAACACAGCGAGACTGCTATCTCTACAAAACATAAAAAGTTAGCTGGCAGTGGTGGCATGCATCTGTGGTCCCAGCTCCTTGGGAGGCTGAGGTGGGAGGATCACTTGAGCCCAGGAGTTTGAGACTGCAGTGATGAACTGTGATCACACCATGGTACTCATCCTGGGCGACAGAACAAGACCCTGTCTCAAAAAAAAGTTTTGAGAACTCTTTAGAAATATATACAGGAGTTTTCTGATGAGAAAATTAAGGTAAGAAATGAGATGAAGCTCAGTTCGTATTTGCACCTAAAACACATTCCATAAGATCCAAAACTGATGCTAAATTTGGGCTACAAATTTGGCTGTGCTTTTTTTCCATTGGACAAAGTAAATGAGAAAACATGTTAAGTTAGATGAGCAAATTATTCATGTTATAAAATCAACCAGATAAAGTTATTTTATGGGTCTTCACAGAGAAGGGCTATAAAATGAAATAGGTGAACCATATCTTCAGCAGCATCTCTGTGACATGCATTTAGTTTAGCGAGACTGATTTAAACCATTTGATGCAGGCAGGCAATATGCTGTATCATTTATTAAAGAATATTCTATGAGAAGCCAGAATAAGTCAGTGAACATTTATGATTCTGAGATCTGCTGAAGAATTTTGAAATATCTAGAACAGCATGTCCCAAGGCACTGGTGATTTAGAAGATGGTCTCAATTTTTAAAAAGTGATTTAAAAATTAAATATTGTTAATTTTGTATAGGCAAGTATTTAAAATTCTCTCTTAAATAACTTCACTCTGTTAACTGTATAAAATTTCAAACACATACCTTCATATTTTAGTACCTGGAATTCTAATCCTCCCCAAAGTGTTTCGGCACTGTAGTCACAAAATGTAGAAGCGTTGAAATAATATACATAGGGCATATGTGAACAAATCTGCAAGTGTCCTGCTCTGGCCAACGGTTGTTTTTTCTTTTAAAGAAAAAGCAGTGTAATGAAACATGTATTCATAATTACAATGAGTAGACTTAAAGACTATATTAGATAAATGCTAGAGGATATAGGTACATTAGGCAAAAATGTTGGAATTAGTTCTCATAACTGTAGTTTGAGAATTATTGTTCTTCTGTTAGTGTTGTTGAATAGAATTTACCAGGATGATAAAAGTGTTTATCTGTGATACTTGGTATGGTACCCAAGGTGTCAGTTGAGTGCTTATACTGTAGTTTAAGGGACTAAATTTTTAATTTTATATAATTTTAATATTTGAAATTTAAATAACTTCATGTGGCTAGTAACTAACCATATATTGGACAGTACAGTTCTGGAGAATGGGAAAGACTGCTTATCTTTCAGGCTAAGAGTAGAGTAGCAGTAAGTTTAAGATTATATTCTCCATCAGTAACTGATTATAGAAATCCTGTATTTGTAAGAGACATGTGTTTTAAAATCATCAATGATTGTTTATTTGAAAGTTTACATTTCTATTTTTCTTGAACTTTAAAATTAACCAGGATGCTTGAGTATGTGGTTCACCTTTTAGGTATCAGTAGAGTTGTGAGGAAATGTTAGGTTAAAACATTATGTTTTAAATTCTTTGATAAAATTGAAACATTTACTTATAAAAATAGAAAGCAGTGGTTATACTGATACAGGACTATTATCCCACAGTTTCCAGAGTGTGGATTCTTTGGCATGTATGACAAAATTCTTCTCTTTCGCCATGACATGAACTCAGAAAATATTTTGCAGCTGATTACCTCAGCAGATGAAATACATGAAGGAGATCTAGTGGAAGTTGTTCTTTCAGGTAAGCGATGGCTTTTTAAATTTTATTGCCTTTTCCCCCAAAGAGCCTACTTTTCTGTCCATTCAGTTATATTTGGTCTTTGTACTATTGTTAACTTCTTTCATCCCTAATAATGGTTACTATATGATTTTTCCTTTCCAGAATCTTATATCACCATTAAGAAAGAAAAATAGCTGGGAACAGTGCCTCACACCTGCACTTTGGGAGGCTGAGGCGGGAAGATTGTTTATACTCAGGAGTTTGAGACCAGCCTAAGGAGCTTAGCAACCTTGTCTTTATAAAAAATTAAAAAAAAAATAAATTAGCCCGGTATGGTCACATGCAACTGCAGTCTTAGCTGCTTGGGAGGATGAGGTGGGAGGATCACTGAGCTTGGGAGGCTGAGGCTGCAGTGGGCGTTGATCACACTGCTGCACTTCCATCTGGACAACAGAGCGAAACTCATCTCTTTAAAAAAAAAAAAAAAGAAAAATCAGGAAAGGAAAATCTGTAAGTTACTTGAATGTTACTAAGCTAAGGAATTATTTGGTCTGAAAGAAATATACTCTTCTCTGAAAGAAACAAACTCTTTTCTGAGTGAGAGAAATAAAACCATTACACTGAAATTCTGTTTCTTTTCTCCTCATTTCTGTAAAGAGCATAAAAGAAGAAAATTGGGGTTTAGAAAACAGAATCGGGAAAAAAGAAGTAATGAAGATATGGAAGAGGAAATTACCATGCTGGTTATTTCTGTGGCTTTAAAAGAAAATGCTCTTTCCCTTCTTGTCCCAGTGGCTTTTTTCTACCTTTTTCCCATCTCACCCATTCTTGCCATACTTTGTTTCTTAATTCCCACTATTTGCTATCTCATCCAGCAACAATGTGGGCAAGATAGTCAGGAGTGAAAAGCAAGAAAGAATGCTATAATAATGCACATAGTGGGTCTGCAGTACTTCTTGTTTGGCAAGTAGGAGAACTGATGGAAGAAAGGAAGCAAGCTGGCCAGTCGTGGGTCAGAATCCTGCTCCCAGTTTTTCCTTTTCTCAATCTCACCTTTGAGCCTGTTCTTGAGATCCTCTCTCCTTATCAGTTTCCACTCCTCTCATCTTACATTTCTGATTCTCTCATTCATCTCACTCCCGCTACATTGATCATTCCTCTTCTATACAGCAACCCCAAACCATCTCTGTATTTCCCAATCCTTGCCTTCCTCTTCATTCCTGATGAGTTTCACTCCCTGTCTTACCTGGAAGTCCTGCTCATATCTCTTCCTTCTCTACTCTGAACCCCATCAGACTACAGAGTATCTACTAACGACTTGCAGCTTGAGGTGAGAGGAAGTTTCTTGGGCCTACTGTCCTGATGTTCACTGTGGGGAAAGGAGTTTCTTTCTCTTATCCACTAGGACTCTGGAGAACAGACAAGTGTATCCTGAGATCCTAAGTTAGGACTCACTATCTTTTTCCACAGAAACATTGCTGTAAATTGAAGTTAAGTTCCACAGTACTTTTTACTTTAGTGTCTGTTTCCCACTGTGTGTAAGTGAAGCAGTTTTCAAATGGCCAAAGTAGACCTAACATCTATTTGCAATCTTGTCATGATGAGAAAATGGTGTTGGAGTTCCAAAGAGCTAACCTACTACCTACTTCAGGAGCTCAAGTGATTAGAAGCAAATGGACTTCCTAGAGTTTGAAATCACAACATTAAATGCTGAAAAGAATTTACTTTTATGGTCCAATGAAACTTTCAGAGAAAAAATGATTCTGTGTACTTTGATATAAATGAATGTGTGAGCTTTCTTAATCTCATTGCAGTTACAAATACCAGATATATTTTAATACTTTTCTTTTTTAAAGCTTTGGCCACAGTAGAAGACTTCCAGATTCGTCCACATACTCTCTATGTACATTCTTACAAAGCTCCTACTTTCTGTGATTATTGTGGTGAGATGCTCTGGGGATTGGTACGGCAGGGACTTAAATGTGAAGGTATGTGTTCTAAGATTTGTGTGGTCATTTGAAATAAGATTCCACATTTGCATTCTTTTATTATCAGTGAAAAAAACAAGATGATAAACTGTTGAGTAAGAACGAGATTTAGAATTGGAGAGATCAGGACTCTGGTTGTAGCTCTGCCACCTACTCCTTCATATTCTTAGGCAAATTACTAAACCTCTTAAGATTAATTTCTTTGTAAAGTACATTCTGCCCCACTGATTTTGTAAAGAGTAAATGGTTAAATAAGGTAATGAGGTTAAATATTTAGTACAAAGTAGTGGCTCCATAAATATTCCTGTCAGTTTTTGGTTTTAAAAAGTTGTCTCTTACGACTAAATTGTCAAATTTGTTCTGAATTAGAATTGCTAGGAATAGGACATAGGTGCACATTTCTGATGAAGAAACAGTCTTCTAAGGTGGAGGATCGATAAAGTTTTTCTGTAAAGGGCCAGGGAGTAAATAGTTTAGACTTTTTTGGTCTTATGGTCTCTGTCTTGTTTTAACTCTGCTATTACAGTATGAAACCAGTCACAGACAATATGTAAACAAATAGATCGGCTGTGTTCCAATAAAACGATTTAGAAACACCAAAATTTGAGTTTCATTAAATTTTCATGTCACAGGAGGAATTTGGTACAGAGGCCATAGTTTGCTAACCAGTGTTTTAAGTCCGTGGTTCTCAAACTGTATTGTGCATTATAAAATACACTTTACTGGGCCTCATCCTCATAGTTTTTAACTCTAAATCTGGGGTGGAGCCTTATAATTTATGTTTCTGACAAATTTCCAAGTGGTTATCTTAGGGACCTCACCTTAACCGCTGCTCTAGCTGACTTATCCCTTTCATACATTTACTTTTCTTCTTTAATTCATCCACTTAGCCTGCCATCTGGGTTCTTAATTAGGGTAGGTATGGCTAACAGAGAAAATATATCAAATAAAAGAAGCAGTGGTTTTTATGTGTCATACTTAAATAGTAAAGGTTTTTTTTAATCTTATATTTTACCTTGTAAAATATGTTTAGGTTGTGGATTAAATTATCATAAACGATGTGCCTTCAAGATTCCAAATAACTGTAGTGGAGTAAGAAAGAGACGTCTGTCAAATGTATCTTTGCCAGGACCCGGCCTCTCAGTTCCAAGACCCCTACAGCCTGAATATGTAGCCCTTCCCAGTGAAGAGGTACGTATTCTAAGGTAATAGACATTTTACTAGTTATTCTGTTTCTGCAAGGTGTATGACATCACTCTAGAACATAATTTACATGCTAAAAAATGGTAATGCTCCTACACTTAAGAAACATAAGATGTAGTAATGGAGACAGGACTTACCAATAGTAACAAATTGCATTTTGCACACCTTGGGATTGTATTATGGCTTGTACCACTGCATTAGCCCCCTAGCCTGACTCCTGGTCTCCATACTTTACTTCATCTTATACATGATAGCCAGATCAAGTTTTCTGTTATACAGCTCTTGATTATGTAACTCCCCACCAGGAAACCTTTATATATTCTATGTTTCTTACAATCTGAACTATTTGGGATTCCCTGAACACACCATCCTTGCTTCCCTTACCTTTGCTCTTAATGTCCCTTCTACATGTATTTTCTAAACCTATCTCAAAAGCTACCTTTCCTGATTTTCTCCTCACCTAGACACTATTTTACTTTCTGAATGCCATCACTTTTCCCTAACTTTATGTATAACATTGAACCTAATATCACAGTGTTTGTATACTGGATTGTCCTTAAGATATTTATGATCTGTTTAGAGAAGACAGTATTTATGTCTTTAATTATCCCATCATGTTCAGTATAATACCTGGTACTTAGTAGGTACTCAGTAAAGAATGAATGACTGAGTGAATGACTCCGCTGATCCTCAGAATATGAAGTGTATCCTCAGAATATGAAGTGTTTCCACACATCTGTAGACAGATGAGACAGTTGAGACACAGAGCAGTTAAGCAACTTGTCTGAAGTCACAGAGCAAATTAGTAAGAGATAGTGGAATTAAACCCAGATGTCATTATTTATAAATCAGTGATTTTTTTCCCTAATACAGTGTACCTCTCAAGGATAAAGGCAGTAGATCCAGGAAGAAGGAAATAACTCCCATATACATTTGATGGTATTTGAAATGACTTCCATTCGTAGATTGTAATCTTCTTATTTAGTTGTTCCTGTAACTTCTCTGGTCTTCTGTAAATTAATGGCAGAATCAAGGCCTTGTCATCGTACCTTAGTCATAATATTTTGCTAAGTTGAGACACCAGAGTAAAAGCTTTTGAAATCCTTTCACAAAAGTCCCATATTTTCCTATTTCTTAGCCCTAGTGTGAGATTCTTAAAGGAGACAGAGTGCGGTGGCATAAAGGACTGAAAATGAGGGGTTGGTATAAACATACAGAAGAGCCTGGAAAGACTGGTAGGAAAAGGTTAGTACATCTTATACACTGAATTGCAGAGAACTTACTTAGGAATGAGGACAGTAGAATGGAGATATGTTAAGAGCTAAACAAATGATGCCAGTATGCCAGCTATGCTCGATTAAGTATTACTAGATTAGGAAATAGCAGAAAGAGCAGGTGGATAAGGTATTACATTTTTCATTAGTTTATATTTCATCTTGAACATGAAAACTCCTTAGGGAAGTATAAGAAGTACAGTTATGGGCCGGTCGCAGTGGCTCAAGCCTGTAATCCCAGCACTTTGGGAGGCCGAGGCGGGTGGATCACGAGGTCAAGAGATCAAGACCATCCTGGTCAACATGGTGAAACCCCATCTCTACTAAAAATACAAAAAATTAGCTGGGCATGGTGGCGCATGCGTGTAATCCCAGCTACTCAGGAGGCTGAGACTGGAGAATTGCCTGAACCCAGGACGCGGAGGTTGCGGTGAGCCAAGATCGCGCCATTGCACTCCAGCCTGGGTAACAAGAGCGAAACTCCATCTCAAAAAAAAAAAAAAAAAAAAAAGTAGTACAGTTACGTGTCTGAATTGGTTAGATTATTCAGAGTATTTTAAAACAAGTAGAACTTGTAGCCTGGAAGGGCTTTCAAGGTTTACTTCTGTCAGTTCAAGCATAGCCCCAAAAAGAAGGAGGCGGAGTAAAAGAAGAGCCTATGGAGGACAATTAGAAGGAAGGAGGATTGGAGTGGGAACGAACAGAGGAGATACCAGTTAGGAAGAAAGAACCGTGACGCTCAACCAAGGTTAGAGAAGAACTAACTCTGAGTGGCTACACATTAAGAGCCTCATAAGGTAGCACATGCCAGACTTTATGCTAGGTGCTTTTCTTTTCTCATATAATCCTCACCGCAATCCTGGGAGGTATAGGGGCCATCCTGATTTTATAGTTAGGGAGAATGAGGGAGAAACGTTTCTAAGGAGTCAAGATAGTAAACTTCACCAAATAATAAGATAAGCCTGAAAATAGGCAAGTTCGAAGTAGAAACCTTTAAATCTGAGGTTGTCTTTGTTTGCATGTAAGAAGTCAGTTTCTGCTATAATGTCTGTTATGTCAGTCTAAAGCAGGAGTGTCCAATCTTTTGGTTTCCCTGGGCTACAGTGGAAGACAAAGAATTGTCATGGGCCATACATAAAATATACTAACACTAATGATAGCTGACACCCTAAAAAAAAAAATCACACACAAAAAAATCTAACATTTTAAGAAAGTTTACAAATTTGTGTTGGCCACATTCAAAGCTGTCTTAGGCTGCATGTGGGCCGCAGGTTAAACAAGTTTGGTCTAAAGGGAATCCAGTAAAGAGGTGAAAGAACAGAAAAAGATTGTTCATTGAATTTGGTTAAAATGGGACCACTGAGATTCAAGAAACCAGAACTGAGTGCTGGCTGTTTTAAGATGAAACAGACAAGTGTTCCCTTCAGCACATTTGGGAGAATTCTTTTGGGGTTAGGAAGAATAGAATCAAACTAGAAAGAAAATGTTGGATCTGAGTATGCATATAAAAGTGGAGAATTTCACTAATACCCCCAAAGCTGATTAAGTATATATAATTGAGAGTTGACCATATTGTTATAAGGTTTTTATGAGCAATTACTTTGGCAGATTTTAGCTTAAACTTAAGCTGTGGAAATAATCAGATTACTTTTAGAAAATTTCTGGCTGGGCCGGGCGTGGTGGTGCACGCCTGTAATCCCAGCACTTTCGGAGGCCGAGGCGGGTGGATCATGAGGTCAAGAGATCGAGACCATCCTGGTCAACATGGTGAAACCCCCTCTCTACTAAAAATACAAAAAATTAGCTGGGCATGGTGGCGCATGCCTGTTATCCCAGCTACTCAGGAGGCTGAGGCAGGAGAATTGCCTGAACCCAGGAGGCGGAGGTTGCGGTGAGCCAGGATCGCGCCATTGCACTCCAGCCTGGGTAACAAGAGCAAAACTCCATCTCAAAAAAAAAAAAGAAAAGAAAATTTCTGGCTGTGCATTAAGAAATAATAGTTGAAGCTAAGCACTAATTTGTATATAGGAGACATTAAAACAAGGTAAGAAAGAACTTCCACTCAGTTCTAATTACTCTAATCTCAGTGGTCTCATTTTAACCAAATTTTCTATATAATTGTTCCAACATGCACCTCTGCCCAAATTCTAATTAAGGCTGCTATACCTTTCTTGCCGTTCTCACCCAATAGAGTGGCAAACCACTGTTACTGATGGGATTGCATTGTGCACAGATACATTAAAATGGGAAAAGGGGGCCAGGTGTGGTGGCTCACACCTGTAATCCCAGCACTCTGGGAAGCCAAGGTGAGCAGATCACCTGAGGTCAGGAGTTCGAGACCAGCCTGGCCAACATGGTGAAACCCTGTCTCTACTAAAAATACAAAAAATTAGCTGGGCATGCTGATGCACGCCTGTAATCCCAGCTATTTGGGAGGCTGAGGCAGGGGAATCACTTGAACCTGGGAGGTGGAGGTTGCAATGAGCCAAGATCACACCACTGCACTCCAGCCTGGGTGACAGAGTGAGACTCCATCTCAAAAAAAGTTTGGGAAAAGGGTTAGAATCACTGGACTGTTACATAGGAGACCTAAGTTCATGTTGATTCTATTACTACCACTTGGTAATATTAATCCTTTTGACTTTGTTCTTTTTTCATATTTAAAATAGGGATAATAACTAACTACTTGTACTGGACATGACATATCAGGTGACTTCTACAACGATAGTCCACTGAGTAGTTCATGGCACACAGGCTCTGTACCATGTCCCTAATACCTGGATTTGAAAGGCCGTCACAAGCTGGCCATTGGCTTTTTTTTTAGACAGGGTCTCACTCAATTGTCCAGGCTAGAGTACAGTGGCGGGACCATAGCTCACTGCAGTCCTGAACTGCTGGGATCAGGCGATCCTCCCACCTCAGCCTCCTGAGTAGATGGGACTACAGGCATGTTCAACCACACTTGGCTAATTTTTTTTTTTTAAGAGAGGGGATCTCACTATGTTGCCCAGGCTCATCTGGAACAGGCATGAGCCACTGTGCTCAGCCTCCATTTGTATTTTGAATTTGAGACAAACCAAAAGTACAGGAGTAAGAGAAGCAGTGTTGAGTCACCACTAGAACAAAGAGCCAAAGGCCTAAAACATCTGTTTCTAGTTCTGCTAGGTTCTTTATTACTATTTGCTTTGCAGAATCACCGTGGGGTTCTTTTTGCTGAAAGTGGTCCGTACAAGGCAGCATGAAGGAAAAATAAGCCAGGCTAGAGCAGGACACCTTGGACAGTTGAAGCACGCAAGCATAGTTTGGGTTTTTACACACTCTTCATCCTTTCCTGAATTAAATTGTTTCAGAATCCATTTTAGAAAATACCTGCCTACACTGTCAGTCTGAGGCATTTTATGGCACTCTTCTCCCACCAGTTGTTTTGTCCTTTTCCTTATCTTCTGTTTTGTTTTTTTTTTCTTTTTCCTCCTCCCCTTCTCCCTTGCACTTCTCTGTCTCTTGTTTCTTTTGACTTCTTTTGCTTCTTTTGGTTGAACATATTGACATAGAATGACCCAGCTTCTCTGAGTTACAAGCATTACTAGTAATAGAAGGCATCTGAAAGATCTCAGGACCTCAGTTCTGGCAGTGAGAATGCAAGCAGCAGGTACAGCCAAATCCGTTAATATAGATAGATGGTAGTTGAATATAAGGATTTTGTGCTTGAGAATTTGGATTACTATGTTTTATTCAATTTTGTGTCCCCAGTATGTAATAAGGTCTGGCATATAATAATCAGTGAATGTTTGTTGAATGGATAGAATGAGCCACATTGAACTGGGTGATGTATAGTTTGATTATTCCCTTCATATAAAAAGGGTCATAGTTACCAAAATCTACTTACCCCACAAAAATTTTTAATTCATGCCTTCTTTAATGTTGCTTTTTGTTCACCTGGTAGAAAAACCCAAACAATTGGAAAATAAAGGAACTTCTTCTTAAAGCTGAATGACTGAAACTATTGTTGTTTTAATTAGTTTTGTATCTGCCATTGTTTACCATTATTAATTAGACTTAAAATTTATGTACATATTTTAGTATTAAGATAAATTTGAAGCCTAAAATTTATTTCAAAATATATTCAGATGTCACATTCAGTAATGCAATATGAGCACCAATAATACTTTCTGAATTTATTTGTTTTAAAGTTTGTAGGTTTTATCTGTAAAGTGCTGAAATGTGCCTGGCAAATAATAATCAGGGAATATGTACCTGAGAATGAACATATCTTAGATTTTTTTTAAGCATAAATATTCGCAAAAAGAATCTGCATTTTTGTCATTCAAGGATTGGTAAATTAAATGCTGCAAAGGAAACTGAGAACAACATTTTTAGAGTTTTTTGGTTTTAGCGTTTCAAATAAATGACGCTTGTGGTTAAGCTCTGCTCCCACCACTTTGTTTTTAATATTGACTTATGGAAATTACTTATATTTTAGTCACATGTCCACCAGGAACCAAGTAAGAGAATTCCTTCTTGGAGTGGTCGCCCAATCTGGATGGAAAAGATGGTAATGTGCAGAGTGAAGGTTCCACACACATTTGCTGTTCACTCTTATACCCGTCCCACGATATGTCAGTACTGCAAGCGGTTACTGAAAGGCCTCTTTCGCCAAGGAATGCAGTGTAAAGGTGGGATTAGGTGTTTTCCTTAAGTAAAATTTGTGTCTGTTTTTGTTATTAAATACAGGTTTAAAATATTTACATTTCAGAAGGATTAGCCAAATAAATTATTCTCATAATTGCTAACTTACATAAAGGAAAGAAAAATATAAATAAAATATAAATGTGTATGTAAACTACTACTACTACTACTATCTGCAGTGTGTGTTATTATGTGCCAGGCACTATAGTAAAACAGTAAACAAAACTTTAAATATTCAGTCTTCAAAGCAATTATATGTGAATTATGCTCTTGTTAGTATATTAGTAGAAATTGGAGTTAGTTAATAGTAACAAGAGTAGTAGTAATAGGAGTTCGTAATAATAGGAGTCATTTTTCATCTTATAGACATGGATTAGGTAACTTGCTTAAGATTCTGTAGCTAGTAAACAGAAAAACTAGAATGTGGATCTCTGAGGATGGCTTCTTCACCTCTATGCTTATTATTTGCCAATACAGAACAACTAGTAGGCAGCAGAGCTAATCCTTGAGGTTTTATGTCTTTTTTCATTCCAGAGCCAGACGCTAAACAAAATAAAAATAACACTTTCCTCTTTTCATTAAATATTTATTACATACACACATAAGTATACTGTAAGAGTTTTGCTTTTTTTAAAGTATGTAGCTAGGAGAATTGTATAAAAACTGTTATTCCCAAGAATAATCACACTGAAATAGGTAGGACGTAATAGAAGCTACTGAAATTATAATAGGGACCACCCTTATTTGGATACTAACCCAGCACACATAGTATTCAAAACAACTCTTAATGAAACAAGTTTTTTATAACATACTAGAAGAATGATTTGCTTATACTTTTATTATGCTTTTTAAAGATGATTGTATCTTTTTGTCTGGTATCTTCTCAGCATGCTGTACAGTAGAAACTATGTTTTCACAGTAGAGTGAAACTAAAATAGAGATTATTAGTCTTAGATTATTAGTCATTGAGCAGGATATGATATAAGTAGTCTAATTTTAATCTTGTGTATTTTTTGTGTGTGATTAGCAGTTCTTGGTATTGTACTTTTTATATAGTGGAAGTATTTTTGGAATTGAATTATCAAGTGATCTAAATAAAACATTAGGGTTGAGGGTTTTGTAACAGTATGTTCTTGCTTACAGCACAGAGTAAGATAATTGCATATAAGCTTAAATATATAAGAAAATAAAGCTTGTCTTGACAGTGTATGACAGCATACAAGAACATCAAATGGGGAACAGGTTATACATTTGTTATCAGGTATTTGATAACTATTAGGCATTCCTACATGATGAAATTTTATTTCAACAGGTTTCTCTGAATATGAGTTACTACATAAATTAATACTTTAAAATATCAACATAAAAATGTATTGGCAAGCAGCCACTGAGAAATGTTTTGGAAAAGATCATTAGTAACATGTAAAAATTCTAGCCAACAGATAATCTTAATAAAGGTAGTTAATATTGCTGCTCTGCTAAGCAGAGCAGAAACATTCTTTAACCATATGCAGAAAAGTATAGTATTTATAGAGGAACTAAAATAAAGATGGATGAATTTTTACATAAAGCCTGTTAATTTGGCTACTGGGTTATTCAACTTTTTAGGGTTCAAGAATAATATTTTATGCTTATATTGATTCAAAAAATGGTAGGTTTTATTTTAATATAGCTAAGTTATTTCATTTATCAATAAAATAGTCATTTTCATATTTTAATAGGAATTAAGATACTTTAAAAATATTTTTGTCAGTCTAAGAAGGAAAAATCTAGTTAAGATAAAACTATTATACTGAATCATTTGAGAAAATATACAATTCCAAGAATTCATTTATTTTCTGTTTGTTTTTATTTTCTACTTGGATGTATAAAAACTTCAAAGCAGCTTAAAAGCATATGTAAAATATAAGAGAGCATCAGCAAATTAATTAAAACATGGATAAGGACATAGAGAACTAAAGCTGCCTGCCTACCATTCAAACCTACATACTTGCTACAGGTAGTCCACAAATTCGGCTCTGAATTTTTCTTTTTTCTTTTTTCTTTTTTTTTTTTTTTGAGAGTCCCATTTGTGTTGCCAAGGCTGGGGTGCAGTGGCAGGATCTTAGTTCACTGCAACCTTCACTTCCTGGGTTCAAGTGATTCTCTGCCTCTGTCTCCCTGGTACCTATAACTACAGGCACGTGCCACCACACCCAGCTAATTTTTGTATTTTTTTTGTAGAAATGGGGTTTTGCCATGTTGGCTGGGCTGATCTCAAACTCCTGGCCTCAAATGATCCGCCCACTTCAGCCCCCCAAAGTGCTGGAATTAACAGCCATGAGTTTCCCCCCCACACCACCTGAGTTTTCAGAGAAGATGGAAAGCTTGTTGTTTTCACAACTTGCAAAGTTCATGAGATAAAATACAAATCTGTTGTTTAAGAGATAGTGCAAGATATTAATATTATCACATGAGTTTTCCCTAGGGCCTATCTTAACAAGGATAGTGTTTTAAATAATGTAAATTTTATCATCTACCAAATTATCAATTTCATGGGGCTTTGTCATTTAATGATCTTTAGCCTGTGCTGTTGGCATGATACCCAGGATTTTCTTGACTTACAAGGGTTACAAAAACATTCTAAGTCAGGACTCAAAATTATTTTTACCCAGTTATTACTAATAGATGCATTTCAAAGGCAGTATTAGACATAGTTAGATCAGTGGGTCTCAACTTTAGTACAAGTTACAGAGCTCAGCCCTACTACCCCACGCCCCAAGAGTTGCTGATATAATAGCTCTGGAGTAGGGCCCAAGAATTTGCATTTCTAACAAGTTACCTGATGAAACTGATCTGGGACCACAATTTGAGAACCACTGAGTTATGCAGTAGTTTAGGACGGATTGTACTTGACACTGATCTGCAATGCTGTCAACTCTGAGGTTTCTTTTAGACTGAAGAGAGCTATTATGTACAAGTGGGAGGCCTTGTGCCGGAGACACTCAGTCCTTCCTCACAAGGTTGTATCTGAAAACCTTTATTAGGTTCCTCATAAATGTTTGTTGGATCTCAGTGTCTTTCCTGCATATACATTAGGTCCTGATACTTAGAAATTCAAAGTATGTATCTGAGATATGTTAGATAGGAATTTAATCCGCTTGAGAAACTCTCATGGGAGGTGTGGGAAGATGAATATGAGGTAAGAGAAGGAAATATGGACCTGCCAATACATTACGGCCATGTTGTACACATGGTATTAGTCTCATTATATAAGTGAAGAAATCGATGGAGGGGGGGTTGCAGAGAGGTGCTAAAAGTGATTGGTAGGTGGTTATTATTATTTTAACATCATTACTACTACTAATAATTTATTTGTGAGTGATTTAAAGAAAGTCTAACTATATCTGATACTCCTTGACTTTTACATAAATTAATACGCTGAATATTTTCATTTTAGATTGTAAATTCAACTGTCATAAACGCTGTGCATCAAAAGTACCAAGAGACTGCCTTGGAGAGGTTACTTTCAATGGAGGTACAATTCTTTTTCTTAATTTCTGTAAAAGAGCAGAAAAGGTCATGATTGTTTGGTGTATTATCTTCAGATAAATTGTATTTTCATAATTTATTTTGTTTCTTAAAGATTTTCTTCTGATTTAATAATCAAGCAAAATACAGAGAACACTGACGGTATACATTTATTAGTAATCATGGCTTCCTCTCTTTCCTCTACCCACTGTTACTTTGTAGTCTAATACAGCCAGTGGTACTGCATATCCTCTTGCATCTTTAGACATAAAAGAACTTGTTTTAAAACGCTGCCGTTGTCTCTATTCCTTCATAGTTCTAATATTTACTAACTGCTTCCTATACCAGGCACTGTTCTAAACTCTTTAAATATATTGACAGTTCAACCTAAGAACAACCCTTTGAGGTAGGTGCTAAGAGATGAGTAAACTGAGGCATAAATACATGAAATAACTTGCCCCAGAAATATAGCCAATAGGTGGCAGAGCTGGAAGTTAAACCCATATGGTTTGGTTCCTTAGTCCCTAGTGATTAGAATATACTATACAGCCTCCCCGTCTCTTTCTCTGTCAAATAACCATTATCCATTTTCTCTTTGGGGCCTTTTTGTTTGTTTGTTTTCAAGATAATACTAAGCAAGGCAGTTAGTTACCTGTTTTTGGAAGGAAGCAGTAAGATCTCCTAACTTTTCATCATAATTTTCCTTTAACAGTTCATAGGACTAGTAACAATTTTTATATAAATAGTTCTGTAAAAGGAAAAGCAAAAAAGAAATGAAAATTAAACTCTTTGGGAGAGTTTGATTAACATTTTCTCTCGTGGCATGTTTGCTATGGTTGTTGGTTGTCTTAGTCTGTTTGTGCTGCTATAACAAAATACCATAGAAATTTATTTTTCATACTTCTGGAGACTGGGAAGTCCAAAGCACTGGCAGATTCTGTGTCTGGTGAGTGGGGGTCAATTTCCTGGTTGAAGGCACCTTGTGGTTGCATCTCACATGGTGGAACAGATGAAGGACTTCCATGGGCATATTTTATAAGAGCACCCAATCCTAAAGAGCCCACCTTCCAAAGACCCACCACCACTAATACTCTTACCTTGGGAGACCACGCCCAGCTAATTTTTATATTTTTAGTAGAGATGGGGTTTCACCATATTGGCCAGGCTGGTCTCGAACTCCTTACCTCGTGATCCACCTGCCTCTGCCTCCCAGAGTGCTAGGATTACAGGCATGAGCCATGGCCAGCCTAGCCAGGAGTTAAGATTTCTAAGGGGAACCAAACATTCAGACCATAGCACTGATTATTAACACCATTGACAGAGCATGATTAGTTTTCTCTTTTGGTTAATCTGAATTAGTATAGTTTCTCTATGACTAAAGTCTTTTCTACATTTATAGTTCACGTAATTGTGTTTTTGTGCTTTTCCAGCTTTTGATAAATGGATACAAAATACAGTTATATTTATCTTAATGTGCATTTGATTACTAGTGAGATGCTTAAACTCACTAGTAATCAAAAAATGCACCATTTTACATCAGCAGTGTGTATGAGGATTCTGATTTCTCTGCGTCCCTACTGTCACTTGTTATTGTATATCTTTTTTATTACAACCATCCTAGGTAGTGTGAAGTGGTATCTCATTCTAGTTTCCATTTGCATTACCCTGGTGGCTAATATTGAGCATCTTTTCATATGCTCATTGGCCATTTTTATATATTGTTTGAAAAAAATACCTATTCATATCCTTTGCTCATTTATTTATCTGTTTATTTTTCATTGAGTTTTAAGAATTTTTAAATACTTGGATAATAGTCCCTCATCTGGTATGTGATTTGCATATATTTTCTCCCATTCTGCGGGCTTTCTTTTAACTTCGTAAGGTGGTGGTTGTAGCACAGAAGTTTTATATTTTGATGAAGTCCAATTTATTTATTTATGTTGTCACTTACCTTTTTGGTTTATTAGGAAAGCTTTGCCTAACCCAAGGTGACAAAGATTTACTCTCATACTTTCTTCTGTGAGTTTTACAGTTTTTGTTTTTACATTGTACGTGATCCACTTTGAGTTAATTTTTTTATATGTTTTAAGGAAGGGGTACACCTTCATTCTTTTGCATGTAGAGCTTTATAGTTATCCTAGCCCCATTTACTTAAAAGACTATTTTTTGCCCATTGAATGTTCTTGACACTCTTGTCAAAAATCAGTTAACCATAATGGTGGTGGCTTATCTTCCTTTATAGTATTTGTCATATGGAAATTTCAAATTCTAATGTAATCAAATTAACTTTGTGCCTTATGATTTGTATATTTTGTATCTTCTTTAAGAAATAGTTTATCTTAGGCCAGGCGCAGTGGCTCACGCATATAATCCCATCATTTTGGGAGGCCAACGTGAGCGGATCAACTGAGGTCAGGAGTTCAAGACCAGCCTGGCCAACATGGCGAAACCCCGTCTCTACTAAAAATACAAAAATTATCTGAGCATGATGGCAGGCGCCTATAATACCAGCTACTTGGGAGGCTGAGGCCGGAGAATTGCTTGAACCAAGGAGGTGGAGGTTTCAGTGAGCTGAGATCACGCCATTGCACTCCAGCCTGAGCGACAAGAGTGGAACTGTATCTCAAAAACAAAAAGAAATACTTTATCTTAACTCATAAAGATATTTTCTTATATTTTAAGACTTTTAAAACTTTTTACACATTTAATAGACTTCTTCTATTAATGTGAAACTCTGAAATTCATTTAAAATTTTACCAGAACCTTCCAGTCTGGGAACAGATACAGATATACCAATGGATATTGACAATAATGACATAAATAGTGATAGTAGTCGGGGCTTGGATGACACAGAAGAGCCATCTCCCCCAGAAGACAAGATGTTCTTCCTGGATCCATCTGATCTTGATGTGGAAAGAGATGAAGAAGCCGTTAAAACAATCAGGTAACATATATACATATTACAAGCTACTTCCAGTTGCAAGGTCATTTCAGGATCTCATTAAGAAAAAGCCATGTCTCTTTAAGTGGGACCTTAAAAATAATTTAAAATCTAAATAAATTGTGGCTAATTCTTTTATATGCAATGTAGTATTTCTGAAATAAATTATATCACCCTTGCCATCCACTCAAGATGGGAAGGTATGAGAATCCTTGTTGTTTTTTATTTTGTTTTTGTTTTTAAAGATAAATGCTTTTTTAAGTATGGTCTACATTTAAAACCTAGTTGTGGAACAGCCACTGCAAGGTGTTAGTATTGAACTTTCAGTTAAAGCAACCCATTTTTCACACAGACAGCTTTAACTGGTAGGAGAAACAGCAATAAAGAATATACTTGTGAAAGTGTTGCACAAAAATAGTGATGATGAAGAGGGCAGTTTTATATTGCCACAGTTAATTCAAGTATTAGCATTCTGTAAAAATGTTAGACTACAAAACCATTCTAAATATGCCACTCTGTTCATAGAAATTCAATTTTTTGTAGCCTAGAGGATATACTACCTTGTAGCAAAATATCCCCATTTTGGCAGGTTTTGTTTTTCATTGGAAAAAAAGAGTTACTTAAAGAAAATGAGTCATTTATCAATCTCAGATGGCTCAGTTGTCATTTATTCTGATTGGCTTATCATCAAATAACAGTTCTTACTATCATTAGCATTATTAACAAAAATTTTGTCTACCCATTTTGGAGACTATTGCAGAACCTAGCTAGTCTACTTCATAGTTTAAAAGTATTTAACTGTTTGAGACTCAAATTTCAAAACAGTATATTTTATACATATACTCCAAATCGTAGTTACTGAGCCATGTTTCACTGCTACCTAATTTGACTCATTCCATTTTCTTAGTATCTGTAAATCATTTTCCTTTAAATATTTTCTAGTAGAAATACATTTTGCTAACAACATGATTAACTGGATTTGACATTTGAGTTATATAAACTTGCATTTTGCCTTGTTATGGATTTGCTAGTCTGCCATGCTGCCCAGGGCAGGAAAACTCTTCAGCAGCAAACCCAAATGAGACCCTCTCCTGGGCTCCAAATATTCCAGTTTGGAGGGTGCTTTCTGCTCCGCTCATTGTTTTTAATTTTTTTGTGTGACCCTTCAGAAAACATTCGTGACAAGTAAAAAGGATTTACGATATTATCTTAAAACAGAATCAATTATGTATCCTCATATAGGATTAATTTTTCTTCTTAAGCCATTGTTTATTTTACTAAAAGATTTTGAAAAAATCTAGCTCAATTATCTCTAAAAAGTCTTCATGTTTCTACAATATTTATGATTTTTTTAAACTCTACACATATTTATAAATTTTAAATATTTTGTAGTCCATCAACAAGCAATAATATTCCGCTAATGAGGGTTGTACAATCCATCAAGCACACAAAGAGGAAGAGCAGCACAATGGTGAAGGAAGGGTGGATGGTCCATTACACCAGCAGGGATAACCTGGTCAGTAATCACATACATTTCAATATGTTAATAAGACTTTGTTATGAATTTTATTTTGTACATTTGTTAAATCAAAATGATGATGAAATATATATTAAGACATTATATACACTGCAGCAGTTTATAGAAGACACAATAGTTAAATTTGTAAGGAATTTTTAAAAGGCAGAATATTTAATGTATTTACAAACTGATAGAGCAGTCGATATTCAAAAAGGATCTGGGATTGTTCCACAATAAAATAAAATTAACTCAAAACACAGTGGAGCCACAAATAAAAATAGAAGGAACTGACACTTCATCTAAAAAGTCATCTTATTACCAAAGATAGGAAGCATTTTTGTTTTTCTGTAGACTTTAACTTCCAGACTTAAGTTAAATATGCAGGTTGTTTTTTAGATCCAGCAAAGACAAGTAATGATGAAATTTTAGTAGAAAGAAAATAGATTTAAAAAATCAGCATAGTGTAATAGCTAAAAACATAGACTTTGGAGCTAGACTGCCTAAATCTCTGTAACTCGCTGTAACACTGTATGAACTTGGGAAAGTTACTTAGTTTCTTTATGCTTTAGTTTCCTGGTTTGAAACTGGCATAATAATTGTAACCACCTAATAAATCCAAAGCAGTTAATATATGAGAAGATCTTGGAACAGTGTTTGGCATACAGTAAGGCACTCATTAAATGTTAGTAGTCACTATTGTATTTTTTTAATTTGCTGAATAGATTATTGAAACAAGCTTTCTAATAAACCTTTTAAGAATAAAATGAAGTACCCATTTTTTAAATTTGCTGAACAGATTATTGAAACAAGCTTTCTAATAAACCTTTTAAGAATAAAAGGAAGTACCTAATACATTTAGGTGGCCTAAAGTTTTATATGATGATAACAGTATAGACTGCAGTGTATATGTGTTTTCTTTTATTTATAGTTCATATCCTTGAAAATGTAACTTGAAGTGGTGTGCCTACAGTTGGGAATTTAATGGTGTATCAAAGGTGCTGTTACATCAGATTAACAGAGGGAAAGATAGGTAATTCAGCAAATGGTGTTGGGATAACCATGTAGCCATTTTGAAAAAAATAAAGTTTTATATATATACCTCATACTTTACACATAATAAATCTAAATATATCAAAGATATGAATGTAAAGAAATTAAACAGTAGAAGAAACTTTGGGAGAATTATATGTTTAATAATAAAGAATAAAAGGTCAATAAATTCAATCTCACAAAAAAAAAATTATACATGGCAAAATCCAAAAGCAAAGGCAAATGAGAAACTAGGAAAAATATTTTCAACTCATTCTAAATAAGGGTTAATTCCATACAATGTGAAGAATGCCAACAAATTGATAAGAGAAAGACCATAACACAATAAGAAAATGGACAAAGAATATGAACAGAGTTACTCAGGAAATACAGACTCTTACACATAAGAGCTTGATTTCATTTATAGTAAAATAAATATTACTTTAACCTTTCACTGAAATGCCAGTTTTTTTTTCAGTATAGCAAAACTCAAAAAGTTACAAACATACTGCATTAGTGAGGGTATGAGTAAATAGGCACTCTCTTATGTTGCTGATGAGACTATAAATTGGATCAAGACTTGTGTAGAATGATATAACACTATCAGGCAGAATTACATGTGTACATGTCTGTTGACCCATCCTGATGATCTGCTACTGGCTTAGCAAATCGACTTCTAGAAATTTAACCTGTAAGTAAATTACATATTTATATGTGTGTGTATATGTGTGTAATATATATGTATTCATGTGTGCATGTATAAAATTCTCTAAAAGGATTCCCAGAAACTTACTAACATTCTTTGCCTGGAGTAAGGGTGAAAAGTAGGGATGAGTGATAGTGAGAGTGATATTTTCACCATACTTCCTTTTTATATTTTGAAAATTTTGAATCTCATGAATCTTAAACTTATTCACAAGTACAAATTTATGAATGTAAATGAAAGGAAAAGTTAGGTACAAGTACTTTGGAGAAACCATTTTTGAACTCAGAGTTTTCTCATCTTTATTTTATAGAGAAAGAGGCATTATTGGAGGCTTGACAGCAAATGTCTAACATTATTTCAGAATGAATCTGGATCAAAGTATTATAAGGTAAGTATATTACATTTTTAAAATATAAGCATTAAGATAGTGGGTTTTTTCAGATAATCATTAACTGTCATATTTGAAGATATATATAATGACTAGCTAGTATGGTTTATAGAAGTCACTGTTAGGTTCCTTGTTGAAGCAACTGTTTCCTATACCCCATTTCACTGCCCACAGCAGCTCTGCTACCAGACTGTTTGTTGTTGTTGTGTATTTATTTATTTCTGGCTTGCCTGTCAGGTTGCGGCTGCTTTCCTTCTGGATACTATGATTTAGATTAGACTGCTTAGAGTCTAATCTAATTAGACACCTAATCTAGATAAGACACCATCTAGATTAGACACCATCATTGCCTGTCCAGAAGAGGTCAGTGAGGTATTTAGTATTTCTCCCACCTTCCACCTTGCCTTGGGTTCCAATTCCCAATTGCTTGTTTTGGATCTTAATCTCCTTTTTACAGTCGTCTTTGCTTGGCCTGACTCCATGTTTTGCCACATCACAAACTGATAGCAAGCAAGATTATAATGAAGCAGTTAGGTTAGTGACAGAGAATGGGAACTAATGGCTTGCTTTGGGCAGGTGTTTTTTTTTTTTTTTTTTAAGTAAGTTTTTTTGTCTTAGGAAGTTGACTAAAAACATAATGATTGTTACAGTTAATTCCAATGGACAGAACCAGAACGGAGAAGCTTAAACAACTAAGATTCTGCTTTTTCTGTCATTATTTCTGCTTCTTACTTGCTTTGGGGCTGTATCTTGTAGACTACTGTGAAGTTGAATTAATGATGGTTGGAAGTTACAAGTGTTGGATACAGTGGCAGATTGCCCTCCTAAATCTTCTCCTTCCTTGCATCCTAATGATCTGCTACTGGCCTAGTTATCATAGTCCATGCCCTGCCTATGGCATTGCTGGACATTGCACCTCATTCAAGACAGGCCATGTCATAAGACTTGACTGTGTGTTGTGTGCCACATACTTGTGTCCTTCTTAATGGCATTTGTTGAAATACATATCTTTGGTTCTTTAGTGTATTTAAAAATAAAAACAAAGATGTATTCATATTTTCCAATGCTTAATTTTTTACTTCAGGAAATTCCACTTTCAGAAATTCTTCGCATATCTTCACCACGAGATTTCACAAACATTTCACAAGGCAGCAATCCACACTGTTTTGAAATCATCACTGATACTATGGTATACTTCGTTGGTGAGAACAATGGGGATAGCTCTCATAATCCTGTTCTTGCTGCCACTGGAGTTGGACTTGATGTAGCACAGAGCTGGGAAAAAGCAATTCGCCAAGCCCTCATGCCTGTTACTCCTCAAGCAAGTGTTTGCACTTCTCCAGGGCAAGGGAAAGATCACAGTAAGCAATAAACTTCTTAATGGCCTTTTCTCCTCTTTAGTTCTCTTACGCATTTTGTGGGTATGGTTTTGTTCCTTTGTTCATCTTAAGCTTTGTCTTTAGTAACCAATACCATTAGTTAATTATTTTATAAAATTATATTGGTTGGCCAGGCATGCTTGTAATTCCAGCACTTTGGGAGGCTGAGGGAGGCAGAACACGAGGTCAGGAAGTCAAGACCGGCCTGGCCAATATGGTGAAACCCCATCTCTACTTAAAAATACAAAAATTAGCTGGACATGATAGCATACGCCTGTAGTCCCAGCTACTTGGGAGGCTGAGGCAGAAGAATCGCTTGAACCCAGGAGGCAGAGGTTGCAGTGAGCTGAGACTGTGCCACTCCACTCCAGCCTGGACGACAGAGAGATTCCATCTCAAAAAAAAAAAAATTATATTGGTTATAGTATATATACATACATACAATGCCCAGTGCTAGGCTCCAGAGTAAGTTTTCCCACATGAAAATCCTGGCTATACCATCTGTTATATGATCTTAGGCAAGTACTTCATCGGGTTGTCAGTATTAAATGAAAGAGAACCTGTAAGATACAGAACAGTGCTTGGCATCCGTAAAGTCTCATTGGATTATGTATACTACTAGTATTAATATTTTGCTTCATAGTGGGATACAAACAAGCAATAAAATGTTATCGTTCACATCACACTCGTGAAATCTGTTAAGTTAGAAATAACTATTAAAACATACAGAAATATTTAAAAATCACTAAAACATGTTTTGCACCAACAAAATTTATATAATTAAATCTAAATTGGATAAAGTTTCAAAAGTAAACAGTTAACAATTAAAAGGTCATTATAATGCCACTTCTCCCCCATTTACATTGTGTTGCTTATGGAGACACATAACTCATTCATTTGAGAAATATATCAACAACTTTCCAAATATAATTTATTTTAGTTTAGCTATATTTTGTACAACTATTATGTAGGTCCTGAGATAAAATACACTATACATGGAGAAATCACAAAAGCTCTTTAAGGAGAGACGGGATATATAAAGGTGTTAGATGGTACCATAAAGCAGTACAGTGCAAAAGTGAGGAATACATTACTTTAAAAACTCAGAAACAGACAGGAAGAGTAAACAAGACTTCATAGTAGAAGAACCTGATTTGGACCTCAGGTAGGAATACAATAGGCAGAGCTCAATGGGAGCAGCAGAGGAGTAACAGATAGTTGAGACAAGTGTACTGAGGATCGTGACTGTGTACATGTTTGGTGTCCAGTACTGATTTTGCACTGGGATGGGAGTAGGTAGGTGGATGTTTCATAGTGGTTCTTAAGTTTTGGAGGTTTTTAGATGGAATTCTGTGTCATTCTAATTAAAGCTAAGACTTTCCTCAGAAAACAATACAGGCACTTAACATATACTTTTTAAAAGATAAATGAGGTGATTTCAGGTAATAAATGTATTAACCAAAAAAGCAACATTATAAAATTATAAAAAGGCAAGCAATTTAGAACTGTATAAAAACTCTTTGTTCCCCATCCCCACCTCTTCCATTCACCAGAAGTAGTCATAGATTTATTTTTAAGTACTGCTATCCTGCAATTCCCTTGACCCTGTTTTATTTTTTCTCCAAGAGACCGGGTCTCGCTATGTCACCCAGGTGAGAGAGCAGGGTACAAATCAGAGCTCGCTGCAACCTCAAACCCCAGGGCTCAAGGGATCCTCCTGTCTCAGCCTCCTGAGTAGTTAGGAGTACAGGTGCACACCACTATGCCTGGCTTAATTTTTAAATTTTTTGAAGAGACAGGGTGTCATGTAGCCCAGGTGTCCTCAAACTCCTGGGCTCAAGTGATCCTCTGCCTCAGCCTCCCAACACACTGGGATTACAGTGCAACTTCCCTTTTTAACTTATTAATATCATGACTAGCTTTCTGACTTTGATTATTTATAGTCCTACATCATCAATTAAACGTGTGATAGTATTCTTTTATATGGATGTATCTCATTTTATTTAACTAGTTTCCTGTTGATGGGTTGTATGTGTTGAGTTTTTTTCACGTACATAATTGTATTAACTGTGTGCTAACCTGTTTTTTAAGTTTGATATACCATAAGCATTCAAGTCAGTGAAGATTAATATTATTGTCATATACTAAATTTTACCCTTTTCTCAAATATCTTTTTTATATTTTACAGAAGATTTGTCTATGAGTATCTCTGTATCTAACTGCCAGATCCAGGAGAATGTGGTAAGTAATCGTTATAGCTAATGTGTATACTGGGTAATTAAGGAAAATAAAAGATGAAAATCTTTATTAGAGAAATTGGTTCATTGCCCAAAGTATGAGGCTAGACTTTGTGGTTTATAACTTCCCTATGGAGTTCTACTTTATAGAGGAAACTAAGGCAGTTTTTTGTTTTTTTTCCATAAAAAAAATAATAAAGCTAACTTTTTCACTAGAAAAAGTGACATTAGAATATTACAAAGCATTAAGACTGGCTCAAAGAGAAGGCAGCCATTACTTCTTGTGCTGTCAGCAGGGGAAGCTTCCTAAAGGAAGTGCAGTTTGGAATGGATTTTTGACAGAAATGGCTAAGGGATGACGGTCAGGGAACAACCTTTCAGCAAGTACCAGGATGAACAAATAGGAAAGAAGGAAATGGACTTGTAAAGGATGGTGAATAAATTAAGTTTGGCCAGTGTAGACAGGTATGTTTAGGGTTTTATAACAGGTCAGCAACTTTTTCCATAAGCTTTTTGCAAATACCTTAGGCTTTGCAGATCATAGGTCCCCAACCTTTTTGGCACCAGAAACTGGTTTTGTGGAAGACAATTTTTCCATGGAGGTGGGGGATTGGGAGATGGTTTCAGAATGAAACTGTTCTACATCAAATCATTAGATTTTCTTCAGGAATGCACAACCTAGATCCCTCGCATGCACAGTTCACAGTAGGGTTTGTGCTCCTCTGAAAATCTAACGCCTCTGCTGATGTGGCAGTAGGCAGAGCTCGGGCGGTAATGCCTGCTCTCCTGCTGCTCACCTCCTGCTGTGCAGCCTGGTTCCTAACTGGCTGCAAACCGTTACCAGTCCATGGCCTGAGGCTTGGGGACCCTGTTGTAGACCATATACAACTATGCAACTCTGTGGTTGTGGCAAGAAAGCAGCCATAGGCAGTATATAAGTGAATGGGCATGACTGTGTTCCAATAAAACTTTATTTATGGACCCTGACATTTGAATTCCATTTAATATTTACATGTCATAGAATATTTTTTTGATTTGTCCAGTCATTTAAATACCATTTTTAGATCAGGGACCATACAAAAAGAGGCAGCAGGCTGAATTTTGCCCACAAGCCAGAGTTTGCCAACCCCCGGACTAGAAGGAAAACAAGCTAGAAAAGGAAGTCAGAAAATTTTTCATTGTTATATATAGTTTCTCAGATTAAAATCTTTATTTTCTAGATGGGATACTCAGCTGTTATAGTTCTCTAACATATAAACGTTGTTTAAGATTTCTAAGATTGCAATGAAAATTGGACTCTAGTAGTATTATTGGAGATAGAGAATTTCAGAGATACAATCTGTGAATCTCTTGTCCTAGTGGGAGGTAGAATAGATACCGTATTCTTGGGGAGAGAAGGAGGAATATCAAAAAACAGAAGAGCACAAATTTTGAATGATCCCATGGGAACTGAGGATATATCCATCCATGTCTTAGGGGGAAAAGGATTCAGAATTGGCTTTTGTTTAAAATATATATAAATACACATACATATATACACACACTTTCCTAATAGTTATTATATATACATTGGATGCCTCCTAATCTAATTAGAACCAGAGTTTGATTAGTTAAACAAAAAGTTGATTGAAGTTGAGAGGCTTATAAAAATGGTTTTTACAAACCGTAAAATTGTAATTATAACCTAACATATATACATGTGTATTCACTGGCTTTTGTGGCAGGACTGAGGCTTTGTCTCTATAAGTGTGGGTCTGCTAAGCAAAGTTCCATTTTTCTTTCATCAGTCACAACTGTAATGCAATTCTGACACTAAACATCCCATATTAGTTCTGTTAGTTCTGACAGCAGCAAATACTACAAAAAAGAAAAAAATGGAATGGAAGAGGGGGAAGAGCAGTGAGGAAAGATGGAGGAGATTTGAGTTACAGACTTTCTTATGTATTCTTTTCATCAGTCTCTCAAAGTCAGACTAATCCCAGTCATATGAACTTCTGAATTTTTCTTTCAAAAATCAAAAGTGCAAATCTCTTTAAAGGTAAAATAGGCAAAACTTCATTTCTAATTTTTTTAGGTAAATTTACTTTTATAAATCACTACTTAATAAATAGAAGATTTTTTTAATTCAAAGCATATTTTTCCTGAAAGTCTTAAACACATTATACTTGCACATTAATAGCCATAGTGTAAAATTTGGGCTTAACCCCTTATAGAACATAGAGAGCCTATGTTTTCATAAAATAGTTTGCACTTATTGTAAATTAATTGCTTCTAACATAAATAATGTATTTAAGTATTTGAATGACGAAAGTGATGCTGACATTGTTTTATATAAATAAATAATACTGGCCAGGCATGGTGGCTCAAGCCTGTAATCCCAGCATTTGGGAGGCCGAGGTGGGTGGATCATGAGGTCAAGAGCTCAAGACCATCTTGGTCAACATGGTGAGACCCCGTCTCTACTAAAAATACAAAAAATTAGCTGGGCATGGTGGCACGTGCTTGTAATCCTGGCTACTCAGGAGGCTGAGGCAGGAGAATTGCCTGAACCCAGGAGCCGAAGGTTGCGGTGAGCCGAGATCGTGCCATTGCACTCCAGCCTGGGTCACAAGAGCAAAACTCGGTCTCAAAAAAAAAAAAAAAAAGAAAGAAATAATACTAACTGCTTACTTTATCCTACCAGGATATCAGTACTGTTTACCAGATCTTTGCAGATGAGGTGCTTGGTTCAGGCCAGTTTGGCATTGTTTATGGAGGTAAGCAACTATAGCCGTTTGCATATTGTACATACATCTGCCAGCTATTTTGTCATCTCACAGTTTTGTCCAGTGGCCTTTTTTTTTAAAGGCTGACTTGTATCTTTCAGCTAAATCCTTCTCACTGTAACTTGAATATTCATTCCTTAATTTCATTGCAAACTTTAAAAAGTAACAAAGAATCAGAAAATTTTACAATGATTTTTATCTCTTCTTGTAGCTCACACATACAGATGTTCATTGGAGGCAGCAGGGAGATGGTTTGAAGTTTATGTTGGGCTGGGTAGGCTTATTCACTGAAGAATATTCCCTACTAGTTTTCCAACACAAATGGCACCATTTGTCTACTCTTGGCATGATTCTTCTATCAAATCTGAAAATCTGAACCTGTAATCCAACTCTATGATTTAGGATATTAATGAAGTCATTTAACCTCACTATGTCTCAACATCTTCAACTGTTTAATGGAGCTAATAAAACCTGACCTGTGTAGCTTATAGGGCTTAAATATTAATTAAACCTAATATATGTAAATTTATTAAGGTACAAAAGAAATGTTAAACTCTTGTTATCCCTTGCTAAGGCTTGGTACAGTAGTTGCCTAGTTGGCTCTTCTGCCTCCCATCTTGCCTTCTTTTCATACAACTCTTGGAGTGAATATTACAGAATAGGTATAAGATAACTAGTTAATTTGAATTAATAAATGAGGGAATGACTATTTATTATGGACTTCTACCTTATAGATTTTTACATCTAGATTCTAGAACATAGAGACACCCAGAGTTTATGAGTACATGGTTAAATCACTCTGGGCTGAATCGTTGGATCTAGAATAAAATTGATTCATTTGTACAATATTTCCATCTTGACAGAGTCTCTGAAGGACTAGGTCTGGATACTTAACTACCATTTTTTTTTCGGTATATAAAGTATTTATTAACAGACAAGGCCTACAGACTTATTTCTTCTTGGATAAAAATATGGAACACTTCACGAATTTGCGAGTCATCCTTGCGCAGGAGCCATGCTAATCTTTTCTGTATCGTTCCAATTTTAGTATATGTGCTGCCGAAGCGAGCACTTAACTACCATTTATTTAACAAGGTAGATTACTTTTCAGCAACAAGTTCGTTCAAATTTTCTCCTGCTTAGATAATGCAGCTGGCTTTATTAGGGGCAAATATGTATGGAAGAGAAAACAATTTTTTCTTAGGTGACTGGAGTATTGAGAAAGAACAAAAATGATCCAAAAAGAAAATTCAAGAGTAAATACATATGAATTTCAGTCTGTGGACAACTCCCTAATAAAGCTGTCAGTTTGCTTCACTCTTTCCTATTCTTTTTTTCTTAATAGGAAAACATAGAAAGACTGGGAGGGATGTGGCTATTAAAGTAATTGATAAGATGAGATTCCCCACAAAACAAGAAAGTCAACTCCGAAATGAAGTGGCTATTTTACAGGTAAAAAAAAAAAAAAGTGGTTTATTAAAGAGGTTGGTAAGAATCTGAATTAACTGCTTCTCTTTTTTTTTTTAAGAAGGCAAAATTAGATTATGGTAATATAGGTATTATAGGGACTGCCAATATCTTGCTTTATGGTAGTAGTTTTAGAACATATTTTTGTGAGTAAAATCTTTTTTAAAAAAGTAAAATTTCATTCTTAATTCATCATTCCAGGAGCTCAAAATACTTTGAATACTTTGCCACATTTTGTTAAGAAGTCATTGTTAAACCCATCCAGTTTTCATGGGAGACATGCTTGATTATCACAGCAATTACTGTGCAAGTAAAGATTGCTTAAAAATTATGTACCTTTTAACAGCATTTATTTCATTAATTAAAAACTATTTAATTTTATAATGGCTTAGTCAATTGCGGCATATTTTAAAGATACATTGGCAATTATTTCAATTCCATAAATTACTGTGTGTTTTTCATCTAACATTTTTACCCCTTGGGGGGGGTCATCTAGAGGACTAAAATTTAACTTGATCCTTGGATCATTTTCTGAATATTATATAAATAATTTACAATATGCAAATATCTGTTTGTTGTATAGCTTTTGCGTATTATTAAATAAATCATGCTCCTATAATAGTTAACGTTGGCCGGGCACAGTGGCACATGCCTGTAATCCCAGCACTTAGGGAGGCCGAGGCAGGTGGATCACCTGAGGTCAGGAGTTCGAGACCAGCCTGACCAACATGGTGAAACCCCATCTCTGCTAAATACAAAAAAATTAGCTGGGCATGGTGACGCATGCCTGTAATCTGAGCTACTTGGGAGGCTGCGACAGGAGAATCACTTGTACCTGGGAGGTGGAGGTTGCAGTGAGCTAAGATCGCACCATTGCACTCCAGCCTGGGCAACTAGAGTGAAACTCTGTCTCAAAAAAAATAAAAATAAAAAATGGTTAATGCTGTCAGAGCCCCATTTGCTTTGGATGAAATTCAGGAAGACACAGCCTCCTTCTTACCGTGAAGAAGGTAAGAAACGTAAATGATTTGTTTTACATTTATTATGTTACTGGTTACTAGTAGTAATATTTGCCTCACTTTTTCAGAGGCATGATAATCAAAAAGCTTGTGGTCAGTTAGGTACTTGCGGTCACATCAAGACTGTCTCCTCCTATAAAGCTACCTTTAAATAGAATATTAATAGTATTCATACTCTGTTGAATATGAACAGTATGAATATGTTGTCAGGTATTTTTGCATATCTGATTTTGGAATCTTCATTGTCCAATTAGTGTGCAAAACAATAAAAATTAAGGATATATTTCTATGGATTGATTTCTTCTTGATCACAAACACAGCTCTAAATAAGCACTGAACCTTTTTTCCTCTGTTATCAGCTTTGGATCATAATAACTAAATTTAGGAATAACCAGCTAATGCACAGTGTGAAAAACTTCATTATTATATCATTTTGGTTATTTTTATCAGTATTGCCCAAACTGGGAATAGATTGTAGGATATCTCTAAGTATGCTATTTCATACTAAATTTAATACAAGACTATCTTTGTTATTATAGATTCTCTTCAAACTGCTTATGTAAGATATTTATACTTTTATATTTGGCTTTCCTTGTGTTGGCATTTATACTTACGTACTTTTTCTCAACATCACCCAGCAGGAAGGCAGAGTTTGAGTGTACGTCTGTCTCCGAACCACATGTACTTTCTACTTTACATCATTGGACCGACCCACTGTGTGTGTGTGTGTGATGAACTGTAGCTAACTTTGTATATGAATATTATCATTTGCACAGAATATTGATATTCTAGATTATTAGTACAATCTGAATTCATGTAGGAAATACACTTTTTTAAAGGAACTTTTTAAAAATCAGTACCTCATTTACTCAAATTAGTTTCATAAGATTTAGTTATGTGAGCATCACAACAGCTAAACTTTTTCACATGGGTTGAAAATAACCTACAGTGTTAAATGCACTCACACCACCTTTTGCCTCTCCTCTTCCCCATCCAACTGTATCATCTTTCCTTTTCCATCTTTGCCCCATGTCATTCTTGTCTGTAGTCCTCCCTCATCACACAGGCCTGAAAGGCTGTCTGAACTCCTGTAGTTCTTCCTGGTGTTGATAGCTTTACCTGCATCCCTAGTGGCATCCATAGCTTTTCTGTCCCATGCCCACATATTTAGAGAAAGGACAGGGTAAAGATTGAGCATATTATTATTATTATTAAGACTACAGCTTTGGCCTTTCCAGTGGCAAGGAAGAAAAATCACAGGATCATTGATTTAAAGGTGACCTTACAGCTTATCCAGGAGCATCCAACCTCTTTAGAGCTCCTGGTGACAGGCTTTGTATTTCTGTTTAACAGAAATGAGCAATCCCACTTTTAGATACCTATGATTATTCTTTATGAAAATGAGTCAAAATCACTTGAAAAAGATTCCACTGCTAACAATATACACAACAAATTTGAGTCTTTTTTTTTTTTTTTTTCCAAAAATAGCCATGTTGACTTTCTTGCTATTTCTCAAACATGCCAGACATGCTTTTGTCTCAAAAGGTTTTGCATTAGCTGTTTCCTCTGCCTGGAATGCTTTCTCCCTCAGATATCTCCATGACATACTCCCTTGTCTCCTTCAAGATTTTGTCCAAATATCATTTCCTCAATGAAGCCTCCACATTCTATTCAGCATTAAACCTACTCTCCCACCCCTTCACTCCCCTACCTTAACTCTTTTTCTTTTCTCCATGGCACTTAGCACCTTCATACAAGGTAATTTACTAGTTTATTTCCCATTGTCTGTCTCACCTTGCTATAATTTATAAGCTCCGTGAGACAAGGGATCTTTGTGAGTTTTGTTTAATGATGAATTCAAAATACCTACATGGTACTGGGTACATGGCAAATTCTTATTTAATATTGAATAAATAAATTATGTGGGAAATCACAACACATTGTTAGATTGGAAAAAAGTTTGGAATGACTCCATTTGTGTTTACTTTTTAAAGTAATGTGTACATTACATATGTCTATATACAATTAATATACAGAAAAAGCCATACCTATGTAAACTGTCAGCATCACCACATCTAGGGAGCATGTTGTAGAGCAGGAAATAAATTGGGGAAGGGAGGTTCTTTTGTTTCCTAGATTATACGGTAATGTAAAATGTTTCTTTTGTTATTGCCTGAAGAGGGCAGTAGAGTAATGGGAGAAAAGGTGTGTTCTTATAAGTACTTATGCAATTGGAAAACGTTATCAGAAACCTAAAGGGAAATTTCTGGTTTGAACATTGTGATGTAAGTTCAGCATTTTCCCCTTCTCATCTTTGAAATAACCCCAAAGCTACCAAAAAAAAAAAATTAACAGAAGTGAGCATACTTTAACAAAATAGAAGGGAATTCAGACCTGTAAAATAATGCAGAGGGTATCCAGCAACAGGGAAATTAAGCAGACGTGTGTATTCAGGAAGAAGCACTACAGTAAGAACTGTTTTTGCCGGTTCTTTATGAAATCTGTAGCCCTGATAGCCTCCAAAGGTCCCTTCTCCAAACAAAAAGCCAATTGAGGGTCACGATCTGATAAGATTTAACTCAAGGGAAAACACATTAAATGAAATGAAAGGCCACTTTAACAGTGGAAGAGTACAAGTCACACTACACCAAGTAACAGCATAAACATTTATAAGAAAAACTAAAAGCAAGGAGAAACAGACAAGCACATCAGTAGTCCATGAGAGATGGAGTAGACAAAAATAAGAACATACAACGTAGGGCCGGGCGCGGTGGCTCACCCCTATAATCCCAGCACTTTGGGAGGCCAAGGCAGTGGATCACGAAGTCAAGAGATCGAGACCATCCTGGTCAATGAGATGAAACCCCGTCTCTACTAAAAATACAAAAATTAGCTGGGCATGGTGGTACATGCCTGTAGTCCCAGCTACTCGGGAGGCTGAGGCAGGAGAATTGCTTGAACCCAGAAGGCGGAGGTTGCAGTGAGCCGAGATCGTGCCATTGCACTCCAGTCTGGGTAACAACAGCGAAACTCCGTCTCAAAAAAAAAAAAAAAAAACATACAAGGTCTAAACAGAGTAAGATAGATCTAACCAGATTATACTCAACTCTACCCTAAAAACAAAGAATGCCTCATTAATTCAACAAAGCAGTAGTATAAGCAGTATTCTTTGATCTTAATGCATTAAAAATCAGAAAACAAAAAGCTTCTACAACATGAAAACTTTAAAATATTAATTTTGAATCAAAGAGCAAAATCAAAATTTCAGAATATTTAGAAAACCATGAAAATACCATATATATCAGAACCTTTGTACTGTCTTTCAGAATAACCTTTATAACCTCAAATATTAAGCAAGAAAGAATGAAAATAAATGAATTAAGAATCCAACTCAAGGAGTTTGAAAAATGAACAATAAAATAAACCTAAGGAAAGCAGAAAGGATTAACAGAGATCAAAAATGAAAATTAATAAATACAGAAAAGAAATAATAAAGCCAAAGCTCATTCGCTGTGTGGGGGAAGGGAGGAGGTATGTAAAAGTAAAATGGCCAACCTAAGCAAAGAAGAAAATACAAAATGATCTTAGGGAAAGAACCACAAATACAGGGAGTGGGGAAAGGAATCTTATGATACTTTGCTCATCTTTATCAGGAAACCTGGAGAAAATTCTCTGTGAAAGTATAATTTACTAAAACATACTCCAGAAGAAATAGAAAATTTAAACAAATAGAGGAATTTCTTAAGGGAGGAGAATAATGTTACAGCATACTTCTATTTTTGTTTGTCCACATGTGTTTTTAAAGGAGGGCAAAGGAGAAAAGCAATTTAAGAGCTGGACAACTATGGCAGAGCAAGACAGCCACATTCGTACCTCTGTTGATAAAAGTTACAATATTCTGAATCTTACACTGCTTATTGCCATTGTCACACCCCACCATGGGTTATTTCAGTTTCATTTATCTACTATAAAATTTTGTAATTTTTAATTTTACTACTTGGAAAATGCAGATATTGAGCTAAAATAACTAAAACAATCTGTGCCTCAGAATTTATTAAACAATGGAGTAAAATATACACAGTATTACAATATAGTGGAATAAGTACTGCTGCATATATATAAGACAATGGAAACTACTGGAGTAGTCCCAGAGAGAGAATGTGGGCTAAAATGAAGGCTTCAAAAACATTTTAGAGGTGGAACTCAGCCTTACATAGGCCAAAAAAGTGTTAGTCCCCTTAGCATATTCAAGTAGCCATATTAAGGAAAAAAAACTTAAGAAAAATGTACAGATGCTCCTCAATTTAAGACGGGGTCCTATCTTCCATAAACCCTTCTTAAGTTGGAGAATAAGTAGATAAAAAATACCTACTGAACACAGCTTAGCCCCACATAGCCTACTTTAAGCACAGTCACTTACATTGGCGTACAGTTAGGCAAAATCATCTAACACATAGCCTATTTTACACTAATGTGTTGAATATCATGTAATTTGTGAATACTATACTCAAAAAATGGAATGGTTGTGCAGGTATTCAAAATGTGGAATGAATGATACCACTTTTGTACCACTGTAAAGTTGAGAAATTGTAAGGCGAACCATCATAAGTTGGGGACCATCCATATTTTTATGAATAAAGAATAAAAATAAGCACTTGGTTTATTCTGTAGAACATATTTAAGATTAAATCAAAAGAATGAAACCAGATTATTGAAGATCTCAAAATATAGACAAAGGAATTTAGATTTATGTACAGAAATAAAGAGCCATTGAAGGTGTTTAAGCAAGGCTGACTTGATGAATTTGTTTTAGAGGAAGGATTTTCTGCAATAGAAGAGAAGATAATTGCTTTTTTATAAGCATAAACAGTATGGCATTCATCTTTGTGTATCTCCAACCCTTGTAACCTAGTTTTCATCAAGAAACATGGTAGAGAGATGTAGAGCCTAAAAAGAGGAAATTGTTTTTACAATATGAGAATAAAGACTTAGATAAATAACTATCTTAGAAATAAAACTTTCTTAAGCAAAGACCTGCACAAATACAGCCCCTAAGAGCCAAATATTTCTATATAATTGACTAAAAATTTATGAGCAGTTGGTGCCTATTCAAGGATAGCATGAAATTAGAGCAGTGTCAGATTTTTCAAATGAGAAGGAAGGAAGAGTAGTAGTAATGGACAAAAATGATCATATAATCAAATTAGGAGAACATTCTCTCCCCTCAATGCGCCTACTCTCCAGTACACAACTTGAAGAATCAAAACCTAAGAATTCTCTCAGCCTGTTTCTTTCTATGCTATGTATTTCAGACAATCATAGTACATCTGAATATTTGCTTAGTAAAACTGTTTCTCCGCTTAAGTTGGTCATATAAATATCCTGCGACCTCTCTTCAGAATTTGCACCATCCTGGAATTGTAAACCTGGAATGTATGTTTGAAACCCCAGAACGAGTCTTTGTAGTAATGGAAAAGCTGCATGGAGATATGTTGGAAATGATTCTATCCAGTGAGAAAAGTCGGCTTCCAGAACGAATTACTAAATTCATGGTCACACAGGTATTTTAACTCTTTTTTTCCCCCACTTTGGAAACTAGAGAGTAAAAACTTTTTTTTTTTTTTGGGGACAAGAGTCTCACTTTGTCAGTACAGTGGTGTACTCTCAGCTCACTGCAACCTCTGCTTCTTGGGTTCAAGTGATTCTCATGCCTCAGCCTCCCAAGTAGCTAGGATTGCAGGCACATGCCACCACGCCTGGCTAATTTTTGTATTTCTAGTAGAGATGGGGTTGTACCATGTTGGCCAGGCTGGTCTCAAACTCTTGGCTGTCCTCAAGTGGTCCACCTGCCTAGGACTCCCAAAGTGCTGGGATTATAGGCATGAGCCACTGCACTCAGCTAAAAACTAAAATAACTAAATAACAGTGCTTTTACATGTTGAGTGACTGTGGGAATTGTTAACCTTGAGAAGCAGAGTGACACACTTTTAGCTAAGTCTTGAACTATAGTGGAGTTTTCAAAATATACCATACAAAGAGTCACACTGAGGTTTAACTGTGTTTCCCAGACATTGAAAAAAAAATCTTTTTTCATAACAGATACTTGTTGCTTTGAGGAATCTGCATTTTAAGAATATTGTGCACTGTGATTTAAAGCCAGAAAATGTGCTGCTTGCATCAGCAGAGCCATTTCCTCAGGTGAGATATTCTCCAGAGCCTTTTAAATGATTCTGGCAACATTTTCAAAGTACCCCCATAATAAAAGGCAGTGTACTAAGTACTGTTGGTTCAAAGTGCATACCATCTTACAGAAATAGTTTTTAGCCTGCAACTACCAGTGAGGATCAATAACTAAATGAATTCAGATGTCATTTTTTTAATAATCATATATAATCATTTGGTTATTTAATTTCAGATGTTATTTGTTACATTGTTTATATTCAAGACTTTTTAGATTTAACCACAACTGAAGGAATAACTGCACATAGATTCTGCAGTTCACCTCTCCCCAGGGGCTGGGAATGAAGTGAGCAAGAATCAACCTTGGCTGTTGGTCCTTGGTACTTAGGATGAATTACTCATAAATAAAACAAATGGGGTGTTACGAGAAATGAAAGATAGATATTTGGTAGAGGCAGGCAGCCAACTCCCTTTCCTGTTTAGAGTATTGTATTTCAAACATTTCACCAAAACCTACATAAGAATAACATTTCTCATCACCACACTTGATGGCATCATCGTTCTGTGTCCTGGCTACATGTAACACTCTTTGATTCTTCTTAATTCAGTTGAGTTTTTTTTTCCAAGTGTTCATCTTGATCCACTAAATTTATTTCACGACCTATGAAATGGATAACCTAAATTTTAAAACCATCCTGAGAAATAAATGGTGGTGGTAGCGCCCTGCAGCCATTTTCCATGATTGGCATGGATGAGTCCTCCAATCAGCTCTAATATCTGTTGGCAAACTATTGTTTATGTACATTTGAAACATGTACATTTGGACAAATGGCAAGACTAAGGACATCAGATAGCTGTTTCATTTGGTAAATACAACTCATTATCTTCTCAAATAAAAAAATAAATTAAAAATAGTTCAGCTTTTAATTAAAGTAATCTCATTCTTTTATGTTTATGTGGTTAAAAGTGATTCCCTATTATTGTGAAGTCACAAGGGTCGCCTAATAGTCAGTGCAATGTTTTAAATAAACTGCTTCCATATATTATCTCACTTGATACTTTAAAATAGTATAGGCAAAAGATGCACACTCTTACAGGTAACATTAAAATTCCCACTTTCTGACCTCTACTTTAGTGATCTACAGTGTTCCAATGAGGAGCAAAGGGAAAATAATGTTATTTACTTGATACTCTCTTTATTATGCTTGTTAGCCATGGTTCCACTTCTTTAATCAGTTGCCAAACTTTCAAGTCATCTTTACCATATCAAGATGGTAGCTGAAATCTGGCATTTAACAACAAAAAGCATTTGTGTTTCTTCAGGCTCAGTACTCATACTCTTCAAAGACACTCAAGCAGCAGCCAGATTCAATAATGACATTGAGCAAATATTCATAAAAACATGTGTCAGGGTCCACTTCCCAGAAATGGCAGCATTTGAATATAACTTCACTTCTGTGTTTTCTGGGCACTGTTTGTATCACTGTTTTCTAGAGGCTAAATCTCTTTCCTCTCAATTTATATTAATGCTTTTCTGAAGACATTTTATAAGTCAGAGCATTTCCTCCAGGAAGTACCCAGCATTTGCTTGTTCAGCATGGATGCAGTCATTAATCCCCCAAATCTGAGCCTCTAGAAGAATCTGGGCAGCAAGATAAGTGTTCTGAGTTCTGCCAAGCTCATCAACTTCTAGAACTCTCTCCCAAGAGGATATGGTAGTGACTATGGCTACCTCTTTACATATAACTTTTTTCATATCTAAACATCTAACTAGAAATAATTTGTTCCATAGTCATAGAAAAGTGTTGCTGTTACTCACTGGGGCAGTTTCCAGCATTATTCCACTGATGTCCAAAATTAAAAGTTTCCTTTAATACACCTCAGTTTTATTTATTTGCCAATTTATAGCATCCTTAGGAAAAGAGATTCTAGGATTAAGCAAAACAAGGAATGTTTTTAAATACTGTAATTTATTTTTCATTCATTCAGCAAACATTGAGGATCTTTATGCGTCTAGGCACTGTGAGGCCACTAAGGGTTCAGAAATTAAACAATCCCTGCTGTCAGATGATGGAAGATTGATCTTACAAGACAAATGATAGAGATCAGCACCTTCCATTTCATAAGAAATCAGAACACTTAAAACACCAGTCTGGTATTTGGTATTCTAGAAGCTAGAACTCAAAAAATTTTTTGAAATGTGCACTAGGAAAGCTCTTCATACTGTGTCAGTCAGGATCTCAGGGCTATAAATGTGTCTGCCTTTTGGGAAAAGAATCACAATTTCCCTATCTGTGATTCTTTAATACTCGTAATCAGTAGAGCTGGCAAGTATGTTTAAATGATACATACAGTCTCATATTTAGGGACCAGTTAGGTAATTATGTAACACTATAATACAAAATTAACATCATCCTTCAATTTCCAGGTGAAGCTATGTGATTTTGGATTTGCACGCATCATTGGTGAAAAGTCATTCAGGAGATCTGTGGTAGGAACTCCAGCATACTTAGCCCCTGAAGTTCTCCGGAGCAAAGGTTACAACCGTTCTCTAGATATGTGGTCAGTGGGAGTCATCATCTATGTGAGCCTCAGTGGCACATTTCCTTTTAATGAGGATGAAGATATAAATGACCAGATCCAAAATGCTGCATTTATGTACCCACCAAATCCATGGAAAGAAATTTCTGGTGAAGGTAGAAAAAAAAATTGTTACGTTTTGGCCATATGTTTTAAGTCTAAAAATCTTTCTGATCCCAAATCAGTCTGTCACTTGCAACTTGTCTTCTTAATAAATCTCCCATTCATATTCCAGATTCAACTAGTTACCAGTTTTTTGAGTACTCTTCCTTTTACACTTTTATCTTTGTCATATGTATAGTTCCCAGGCATAGCACTACATAGGCTCCAATGGCCTCATTCTCAAACCACTAAAATACCTTTTTAACTCTTACCTATTAAACTCTTTTTTGGTCCTTCCCAGTCACTACTGCCAAATGCATCTTCAGGAAACATTACCTTCATTTATGGTGCTCCCAAACACTTTGGCTTCTCTCTAACCACCTTACAGGTATAATGTCTGTGATATAGTCCATGCTTACTTTCTAGCCTCATCTCCCACTACTCCCTACACAAAACTAGTTGTTTACTCTTCTGAACTGTTTCCTGCAATTTGCTTAGACCTTTTTTTTCCCATCTTCAATTCCTGTTAAAATTTGAGGACCCCTTAATTCGTGGCACATCTATGAAGTCTTCCCTAACTACTACTCTTCTAAACTATGTGAAATTTACTTAGGCTAAAAAGCATTTGGGCTTTTTTATTACTTTTTATTTTTATTGAGACAGGGTCTCCCTCTGTCACCCAGGCTAAAGTGTGCACAAACACAGCTCACTGCAGCCTCAACTCTTGGGCTCAAGTGATCCTCCCACCTCAGCCTCCTGAATAGATGGGATGACAGGCATGTACCATGGGCCACCATGCCTGGCTAATTTTTTAATTTTTTGGAGAGATGAGGTCCCACTGTGTTGCCCAGGCTGGTGTCAAACTCTTGCACTCAACTGATCTTCCCAACTTGGCCTCCCAAAGTGCTGGGATTACAGGCATGAGCCACTGCACCCAGCCCCATTTTTTTCTTAAGTGTTCAATCTTTTCATAATCGACTTTTCTAATCTTCAGAACAAGATTGTGAGCTCCTTGAATGAATAACTAACTCTGGTTCCTTATACCTAAAGTGAACTTTATATTCAACAGACACTGCAGTATTCCACTCTCCTATAGACCTCTGCTGGGAAACTGCATACATCTCTCTTTCCTGCCTACTGAAGGCTTTTGAATTTGCAACTCCTGGTTCTGTACCCATCAAGAATAACTTGGTTGGCCCTCTTTAGTTTACTGATACTGATAGGAAGGACAAGTACACAGCTTAAAACATTATTTTACTGTCCAATAGAAGCTAATAGAACCAATGCTGGGGACCCCACCTGGATTTAGACAACCCAGGTAACAGGGTTTTCGTTCTTCCAAAAGTACTAGGCCTAACCATAGGATTAACTAATATTCCATTAAACTGAGAAAAATTTAAGGAACACATGAAGACAGTAGCAGGTTTGCTTGGTAATGAAGAAAGCTAATTGAAGAAGCTCATAAGAGAGTTTTTGATGTTAACCAATGTTATCTCAGAGCCCCTGGGACAGTGTCTTCTGTAGACCTTTTCTATCATAATCACTTAATGAGTTTATTAGAAGAGAAATCCCAGAGATTGAGATTCATTAGTTGGAATGATGACTCAGGAATGTGCATTTTAAATAACTCCAAATGATTGTGGTGCACATGGTGGACCACATTTTAAGGAACAAGGGATAAAGGTCTGAAGTATTTGGAACACAGAGAAATTCATAAAATACTTATGGAAAATCTTTGCTAGTTTGGTAGTATACAGACAAGAAATAGAACTAGGATGGTACAAGTCTTTCCATTTGGTTCGTGTCTGGATCTAGCCTTTTGTTAACAGTATTTCAACTGTATCATATAGGGCTATAGTTAGTATGTAGTTATTGGTTGCCTTGGTTTGGCAGTTGATCCATTCTCCAAATAACTGAATAAAATATATATGCCAAGAACTCACCATGTACACTAAAACACCCTGAAAACCTATTTATTAAAAGTATGATTTGGTAGTTAAGTTACCACCTCAGTCTAGCCATGTCTGTAGGGGCAAGGCAGTGTTTTTCCAGACCAAGTCAGGTACTAGAAAGCAGCATTGGGGTGGGGGGTGGGATCAGAGAGTCTGTTTCATTAATCTTTAAATAATAATAGCTAATACTTAGCACTTAGGTACTTAGCACTGTTCTAAGCCCTTTACATGTCAGCAGCTTCATGAGGAAACTGAGGCATGGCATAATTTAGTAACTGACCCAGTATCACAGCTAGTAGGTGGCAGAACCAGACTTCAGCCCAGGCAGTCAGGTTCCAGAGTGCATACTTTTAACCTGTACTCTATACTGCCTTATAAAGGCAATGAAAACTGGACAGATACATTTAAATCGGTAAACATTTATGATTCACTTAACATGTTAGCTAAAAGTCCACATCCTTGAGAAGCAAAAATTCCTCAACCCTGTATTTCTATGGGTTGAACTGCCTTCTAGGCAGAGTCACAGGTTTGGGGCACTCTATACACCCATTCATGTCTCTTCTTTTGTCTTTTCCCTTAGCAATTGATTTGATAAACAATCTGCTTCAAGTGAAGATGAGAAAACGTTATAGTGTTGACAAATCTCTTAGTCATCCCTGGCTACAGGTAAAAAACGTATTCTGTCTTTGGCAATCCTCATTTGAGTAGTTCACTCTGATTTGTCCTACCTAATGAAACCACTCTAAGATCAACAAAATAATGTAAGTGCTCTTCAGTAATTAATTTGTACTATGGCTGAATCTCTGTAAACTGTACCGCATTTCAAATAGGTAATGACAGGGGCAGTTAAACTCCCATGAACTGAAAGCCATGACTTAGCCTTTCATAGACCTATGTGTTCATTTCACCTTTTTGTAGGATTAACATGACATATTAATTTATCAAATATATTTTATTTTAAATGTCCAATGAAGGGTTTATTTTTGCATTGAAGAGATTTTTAAAATGCCATTTAAAATGTTTGGCTTAATTCTCCCAAAGTTACTTTATAGATTTATCAAAAAATATCCTCCAAACTTCAGAGAAAGGAGGGAAGCTTTAGAACTATTTTAAAGGGAGTGAGAGGTAGAATTAGCTTTAAACCAAATGAAATCTAGTCTACCAATTACTAAATTATCCTAATAATAAGTGTCCAAGTACTCTCCCCCTACTTTGAGGAGTAAAGCTTAGGCCTCACATAGTATAGAACAGAATGTCTTAGTGATTATTATTGGCTACCTAAGAAGCCTGAAGCAAATTTTTTTAAATTTCGGAAATTAGTTACTTTCATTCATTGGAGACTGAGTTTGAAAATGTTCTTTAAATTGCTAATTTAAAATATCACAAGTAGAACTTAGCATATAGCAGATACTTATGAGTAGGGCCTATCAATTATTTGACTCGGGCACTAAACAAACAAACAAAACAAGAAACCAGGTAGACAGTATTTTGTTTCTTTTATGTTTCATCATTACTTCATTTTCTCCTAGGACTATCAGACTTGGCTTGACCTTAGAGAATTTGAAACTCGCATTGGAGAACGTTACATTACACATGAAAGTGATGATGCTCGCTGGGAAATACATGCATACACACATAACCTTGTATACCCAAAGCACTTCATTATGGCTCCTAATCCAGATGATATGGAAGAAGATCCTTAATCGCTGAGTTAACCTAAATAAGGAAGGATTTCACTTAATGGACTGATATTTTGCTGTAAAACTTGTTATTTGTAGGCTGTCATCTGCAAGGATGCAAAGATATGAGGAAATATGATAAAGAATCAGTGACACCAATACTGTAGTCCATACTGAGTAGGTACAGGAGGGAAACTGAATAATAAGAACTCATAATGGAATCAAGGTGAAGCTTTTTATAAACTTTTGTAGCCTAAGCAATAACTGGTTTTGTATTTTTTTTCTAATCCTTCACTTTAGTGCAATAGGGCCACTTAATTTGTCTTCCCTTTCTGTTTTATATATATATATTTTTGTTGGTTGTTTGTTTTGTTTTTTAAGGAAAAACAAGTCAAGCTAGCATCCAGTTACTATATAGCTTGGCTAAATTATACAAGACTTAACAAGATTGAATAAACAGGCTTGTATTTAAGAGATAACTGTGAGGCTACCATTGTGATCCTACTATAAGGACTTTTAACATTGGTTTAACCAACCATAGAGGCATTGAAGGGTTTTTCTTAGATGCCTAGAAAAAGAGCATTGTGCTGTTTCATCTTTCTTTTTTAGGTCAGTCAAGACTTTAAAACAGTGACTCCTAACCTTTTGGGAGTTGCTCTGCTACTCTGAATATGTTCTATACAACATAAGGATTGTTACCTTCTGTCTGTTGCAACATCTTCTAAGATAATTAGGGAAAAAGGATGTTACAAAGGAAGAGTACTGCTGGTCTAAGCACTGAGTTGTACGTCTTTTCATAGCTCCACTCTACTGCTAAATATGCACGTTCTGACACCATCCTGATGCCAGTACTGGATCTACCTTTCACCATCAGCAGATCTCAACTTTACACAATGTATCTCTATGCCTAGGGTTCAATAATTTCTGCTTTTTAGCAGGGCCAGTGCAGGGTCAGTTAATGCTACAGTTATTGTATAGCAAACAGTATCCTTTCTTTTTTTTTTTTTTTCCCCTTCCCTTAGCCTATGGAGGGCTTTGCAGATACCTGGAGTGTTTTAAAATCAATTATTTTAATTAGTTTGGGGAATGGATAGGAGTGGAGCATGAAACAGTTTATAAGGCTAGAGCTGTATTATCAGTGCAGCAAATTAAAGAATGAAAGAAGTACTTTTTATATTTCAGCTCCAGCAGCGAGCTATTTAAAAAATATTTTTAAATATCTTCCCCAGTTTAAGATGTGGGACCATCTACTTGTAAGAAACAGTGACTTTTTTCCTTTCTCCACTCTAACAAGAGTAAAAGAGCAAAACTTCTGCTCAAGCCTTGGATCCATTACTTGTTAGTTATGTTGGCCTGGGCAGATGGCAGTCTGTCTTCAGTTCCTCATTCTGTAAAATGAGATTATAATTCTGCTTTTGTCACAGTGTTGCGGTGAAGATCAGCTTTGTATGAATGTAGTCAAATAAACTAAAAACTAGGAAAGTGTTAACTATCATTGCCCAGCAAATTTGAGGTAGCAAAAGAAAAGAATGTTCTTGTATATGAACAGACTGAGAAGGCCTTTAGAGATCCCTGAAGCTACTCTCCGATCTAGGACTAAAAATACCCTTGAAAGAATAGTAGCAAGCATTATGCAGTGCTCCTGTGTTCTAAGTTCTTTTATGTTTTAGTTTACCCTCCCAACAGCCATAGTGTTAAGTCATTATGAACTCCATGTTAAGAAAATTGAGGCAAGGGGAGATTAACCTGCCAAATTTCAGACAGTTAGTACATGTATTTTGGAGGTCAGCAGTATGGCTCTAATCTCCCTTAACCCTCCCAACCATTATGCCGTACTGTCTACCCATAAATGCCTCCAGGAAATATTCCCCTCTTGGTAATATGTCCTTCTATAGAAGCTTCAAAGATTAAACCAAATTAATTTTTTTTAAAAATTTAGCAATGTTACTTTCCCTATGATAGAGGATGATTTCCCAGTTTCACCGAAGTCTGTTTATATCAACACACCCAAAATGAAATATTCTGAGTTGCTAGGCAATCTACTTTGGTTTTACTACATAAGGTGAAAATTAACTGGAATGATGTTCGTTTGCTAAACTTATATAATCAAACTTTACAAGCCATGAAATTAATTGCACTCTTTGTATTTGTTGTTAAATGCCTAAGAAGTTTTCAAAAAAATTTTGTAAAGGCACTGTTGAAGAATCTGGAGTTGAATTAATTACTCCAGATACTGTATAACCTGCATAACTTTTTGTCATGTTTGTATAAGAAGTAATTATTTGCTAGAAACATTTGATAATGTACAAAGTAGTCTATAATGACTGTTCAGTACATTTTTATATTTTTTGTTACATCGAACTTTTTGTAAATATACTGGAAGCTTGATAATAAAATGTATTTCTATATCACCATACTTTTCCATGTGAAAACCTGAGCCTATTTCTAGTAGAAGTATCCAAAGAAACTTTTTATCTGGTTGTATTATTTCACCAGACCTTGGTAAAAGACCTATTTTGGAAACAGTATTTGTAAATGGAACTAATGCTATATTTTAAAACACTGATTTTTTTTTTTTACATGCCAAAAATAAAAACAAAAGTTCATTTTATAATTTTACACTAAATTTGAGGTGATTATCTGGAGGTCTCATTTCTTGTAAAGTTTGAAGTAATTTTAACAATAACTTTTTCAGGAACTATAATCAAATTATCCAACTGTTATACTAACAAAAGACTTGAAAAAGGTAAAAACCTAGCATCGAAATAAACTTTCTAGGTGTTAAGGTACAAGGTGTTGCCTATAACTCTAGCCCCTTAATTATAAACACTTTAACATATCTGAGAGGAGCCAACTATGGACATTTTCATCTTTCAAAAATTCTCCCAACCAAGTCTTTGAAAAAAGAAAACAAATACAGGAATATAGAATAAGAACAACTAGGAGTGGCCCGAGGCTGGGCAGCATCTGAAAAGTAAGGCCTCCATTTTCCTTTACTTTAGTGCAGGGGTGTCCAATCTTTTAGGTTCCCTGAGCCACATTGGAAGAATTACCTTGCACCACACACAAAATACACCAACATTAATGATAGCTAATGAGCTTAAAAAAAATCCGTAATGTTTTAAGAAAGCTTACAAATTTTTGTTGGGCCACATTCAAAGCCATCCTGGGCCACACGCGGCCCATGAGCCATGTAGTGAGATAGAATGCTACTCCTGTTAAGCAGAAGCTGCAGTAAAAAGCAACAGTTCATCACTCTACCAGTGAACTTCTGATACAGTTAAGCTGTAAATTCAAGACATATGGTGGTAAGTATTCTTTTCCTTTAATCTCCCTTGTAAATTTGTGTTGCTAATTTAACAATTCTTAAGTCAATGCTTCCGGTATTGACACAGAGCTTCTAAAAACCAAAAAATACAGAACTAAAACTTGACATTTATATGAATATTATTCCTCCTAGGCAGTCCATGTGTGTGTATATGTGTCTCCTTCTGTTGCCCAGGCTGGAGTGCAGTGGCATGATCTCTGCTTACTGCTATCTCCACCACCCAGGTTCAGGTGATTCTCCTGCTTCAGCCTTCTGAGTAGCTGGGATTATAGGTGTCCACCACCATGCCTGGCTAATTTTTGTATTTTTAGTAGACACAGGGTTTCACCGTGTTGGCCCAGCTGGTCTCCAAGTCCTATTTGAACTACATGTCAAGATTTACTGTTTCTTACTGTCACTACTGTGACCTTTATAATTAAAAAAAAAACTAGTTTTTATTTATAAAATTCACAGATGCACAATGTAAAAAATTCAAATACCAACCCACTCCCTGCCCCTCAAACTCGCTTCCAAATTGGGAAAATTGTGCATTCATTCCTTACTTTGTATGCAAGTACCTACCACAGAAAATGACTGACTGGACACTAGTATATTAGTTTCTATGACATTATTTGTGTTTATTTAAAGATAGCTTTTCTCTTTCAACAAAAATGGAATAATAACTATAAAAACTCTTATATCCTACTTTTTTCACTTACTAAATCTTAGAGACCTTTCTATGTCAAAACATAATACTCTAGCTCATTTTAAAAAATAATATGTAGGGCCAGGCACAGTGGCTCACAGCTGTAATCTCAGCACTTTGGGAGGCTGAGGTGGGTCGATCACAAGGTCAAGAGATTGAGACCATCCTGGACAACATGGTGAAACCCCGTCTCTACTAAAAATACAAAAATTTGCTGGGCATGGTAATGCCTGCCTGTAGTCCCAGCTACTTAGGAGGCTGAGGTGGAAGAATCACTTCAACCCAGGAGGCAGAGTTTGCAGTGAGCCGAGATTGTACCACTGCACTCCAGCCTGGTGACAGCGAGACTCCATCTCAAAAAAAAAAAAAAAAAAAAGTAGGTAGGTACGTAGACACAGTTTATCAATTTCCTGGTAATAATCATTTAGGCTGTTTCCAATTTTTATTAAACCAATCAGTGCCCATGTTTACTGTTTAAAATAAGATAGAAATATGGCAACTACCTTTATAAGTTAAAGAAAACTCAGTTTAACAATAACTTATTAGCTTGAGCACACATTTGTACCAAAAGCCAGTCAAAACCCTAAAAGTTCTACAGTTTTGGTTGTATTATATATGTATGATATATAACTTGGGCTGTTCTTATTGACTATGAAAAGATAAAATACTTTTTAACAAGTTTGTTACCTGCAGTGTATGAAATATGTTTCCTTTATTTTGATTTCTTGGGCAGACTGAAGGGTTAAATGTCCAAGCTGAAATATCACTGCCAAGCAAGTTCGCTAAACCCAGCTACAGGGGATGCAAAGGGTTTTGACTGACGTGCATTCATCTGATCCCTTCCACCTTGAAGTCTCTGATGAGGTAGCAAGGCAAAAAAGTTAAATCTTTCTCCCATCTTCTTCGGATTCATTAACATATCATATCCTTGAAGTAATTGCTGCTTCACTGATTGCTCATTTGATTTATCTAGAAGAACCTGAAAAGAAAAAAATTCTTAGCAAATATAACCAGAAGAAAGAATTCCTAGTTACATGCAGCAATACTAATGACTCGAATATTCCAACAAAACAGGGCTCAAAACATGACTTCTAATTACCTGCCTGAGAATCATGGAGTAATTATATTTAAAATGTAGGTGAAACAAACCTAAGGATTTTCATTTTTAACAAATATCCCCAGGGGGTTTGATCTACAGTAAGGTTTAGGTATCTTCAGAAGAACAGTTAGAAAATTCATACCCAAAAACACTATTTGGAAGTCTTAATGCTACCTCACATCGAGATGCACAAAACTTACCTGACTAGTTACTAAATCCTACACTACCTGAAAAGACTGGAATACCAAGGATTAGCTAACTACAAGACCATTAAGGCCAGGTGAACTTATTATTTAAAGTAATTTTTGAAATACTATGAAATTAAAGTATTTAATAACAGTGAAATAAAATAAACCTTACCTTCAGCCGGACATCAATACCCATGTTTTTTAAAAACGTGTGTTGTGTTATTGGGCCCAGAGAGGCTACTTTTCCCTGTGCCATTCTTCGCAAAAAACTGAAGTCCACATCAGCTGTTAGATCTGCTGTTCCTGGGGCAATTAAGACATCATGAAGCTTGTGGCCACAAAACCCCTTGAACATAAAGAAATTAGATTTTTGCCCTTTTATGGTTATTAAGATTAAAGAAATGCTATCATATTAACACATTTTTACATAGCAGCTGTTACAAAGGAAAATACAGCCTAAATCTATGGTTTACAGACTCTTTATGCAAAGCATCCTTTCTTCAAATGAGATATTACATGGAAAACCCAATAGAAAGTACAATGTCAGAGTGCCTACTACTAACCTTAATAATTATTTAACACTTACGTTAATGTTTGAGGTGATGGAATGGAGCTCTCATTAATTCTCTAGGCAGGGAACACCTAGGCAGGGTTTTACAAAGTATATCCATCAACCATGTGCATCAAAATCATCTGAGATACACCACAAAATACTACACAGCCATATAAAAAGTGAAATCATGTCCTTTTCAGCAACATAGACATAGCTGAAGGCCATTATCCTAAGTGAATTATGCAGGGACAGAAAACCAAGTATCACGTGTACATCTCAGTAAGAGCTAAACACTGGGTGCACATGGACATACCGATGGGAACAAACACTGGTGACTACTAGGGGGACTCAGGAGGAGGGGAACAAAGGCTGAAAATCTACCTTCCGAGTACTATGCTTGCCACCTGGGTGACAGGCTCACTTGTACCCTAAACCTCAGTGTCAATGCAATATATCCATGTAACAAGTAACAAACCTGCAGATGTACCCCCTAAATCTAAAGTAAAAGTTGAAATTACTTTTAAAAAGATCACCTGAGAATATATTACTGACTCTAACCAGACCCCGGTCAGTCAGAATCCTGGAGGTGAGGCTAGAGAATGACTATTTTCAACAAACTCTCCAGCTTATTTTTAGATATAATAAAGTTAGAAATTAGAAACAGAGACCTAGAAAGTGACTAAGAGCATTTAGTTAAATGTTTTTCAATTAAAGTATATTGAACAGAATTGGTCATATTCAAAGATTATTAAGGATGTTTAGGAACCATGAAAAAAAATACATCTGGAAAGGGAAAAAGTGTTGAAAATATGATAGAAAAAGAATGATTACAATAATAGGTAGTTTAAATCTGCAAAGTACCAAAATTTTTCTTGAATGAAGTGGAGGTACAGATAGAAATGTTTAAGAACGTGAAGAAAATCTTTGTATGATTCTGCTGCTTATTTGGATTTATGTAAACCTAGGTTCTGCAACTAAGGAAGAACATAAACAATTCAGATCCTGTTCAAAGGAGGGCTGGTCAGCAGACTCAGGGTTAGCAGTAAGAACTAGGGTTAAGGAGAACTATAATAATATGAATTAATGTTAACTATAAAGTGATGTAATACAACAATACTAGGCACTGTAAAAATCAAAGCTCTTCAATGAGCTTCAGATCTAACACTGAAATTCTGATGATCATGTTACTGAATTATACATACTCTGAAGGTATCTGTCTTTGTTCCATCATGACCATAATCAGCAACCAGGGCAGCACCTCCAGTTAGTGCAATGCGCCGAGAAAGTTCCTCAATGATAACACCAGCATCAGGACACACTTCAATGTGATCCCTTGTTTCATCATGCTGGTAAAGGAATCATTGCAAGAGTCAAAATGCATCATTCAAAAGAATTACTTCCTTAGGGTTTTTCAGGTTTTTCCTCAGTGAGCATTTCTTAGTTTTAATAAAAATCTTTCTTGAGTATGTTCTCTACATCCAACTTTTCACCTGACTTCCTTTTTTATTATACAAAGCTCCTTAGTTCTTTGATGCTATCCACTTATTTACAAACACATTTTAA